TACTCAAGGTCCCTCTGGGCAAGGAGACACCGCTGCACGGGATTCCGCTAAAAGGGGCAGGACACGCCCCGTGGGAGGCCCCCCGGGTGGGGAAGAACCCCTCAGGCCCCTCTCGGCCTCCGTACCTGACCGGAGCCGCCTCCTCCGGCCGCCACCACGGCGCTGCCGGCCCCGTCCGCCTCCTGCGCCGCCGCCATCTTCCCGCTCCGGGTCCCCGCCCCCGCCGCCAGCCCCGCCCCGTCCCCGACGGCGCCAGCGCGATCGCGCGAGATTTCGCACTTTGCCCGACTCGCCGGCCACCGTAGTCCACAAGAGCGTCTCAGCCACGCCTCTCGAGAGTCACTTCCGGCTACGAAAGGACCAATCCGGCCACCGTATAGCCCCGCGTCCCCCGCGGTCCGTTAGCTTTTACCTGTAGACGCGCTGCATGCTCAAAACTCCCGGAACATTCTCGGCCGGCGTGTGCTTCCCGAGGCACCGTTCCCTCGACCCTCTCTTCCAGTTACTAAGCCCGCTTGCTCCAGTTATAAGAGGCTTTTAAGGCATCTTGCCTGCTTCGTCGTGCTGGGTCAGGCTTCATTCCAACGTTCTCGAGCCTTCTCGGCTCCCGTAGCGTTTCCAGGCGCCCCCCCCCCCGTTAAAGGCGTCCCCGGCCCCTTTCCCCGGATCCCGAGGGCAGGGTCTGGCGTCGGCTGCCTGGTCTCCCGACCGCTCTTCCTGGTCCCATCCCTGGGGCCAGAAGAGTTCCCCTGGGTTATGGCCTCTGTGCCTTCAGTTGCTCTTTCAGTTTTCTCGCGCCACCGCACCTCCAGGTTGCACCTGTCAGCCCGCCTAGGTTAGGGCGCATGCGCGTTCCCTGGCGGGGCTAAGCTCTCCGGCAGCCTCGCAGCCCCGGGGCTGGGCTTCCAGGGCTCCGAGAACTCCGCACTTTTTCTCAGCTGTGTGTGTTCTACTGCAACGCCACGCCTGGACTTGTGTTGAAAGGCCCCTGCCCGGGCCTCCCCGGTGGCGCAGCGGCTGAGCGCTGCGGCGCCGGTTCGATCCCCGGCTGCTCCCCGGCCACCAGCGAGGGTCCCACATGGCGCGCAGACCTCTCCTGCCGCCCGCTGCTCCCCTCAGCAGTGTATACTTTGTCAGTCTGCCTGCTCTGCTCTCCCCTCTGGCTCTGGTGAATTCTCTCACCCTCCCTCGCTTCTGACTGTACCCAGTGCTTGTATAAATAAATAAATAAAATCTTAAAAAAAGAAAAGAAAAGCCCCTGCCCTGGGGAAGGATGTAATAAAGGCGCGTAAGGGACCGAAGCCTGACTCTGACTCCATCCAGTCTGGTTGACCACCAGTGAATTGGGTGGAGGTCTGACCTAGGTTTAAATCCTGATTATGCTACCGCATGTCTTAATGATCGTGGATAAGTGATGTGTCTCTTTTAAGCCCCAGTTTCTTCCTCTGTTATAAACTAGGTGTTACAATAATACCCGCTTTCCCTCTCCTCCCTTTACCCCACCGTGTTATTGGGTCCAGTGTGGCCAAGAATGTATGCATGCACCTGGCCCCAGGCCTCAGGCTTACCTGTGCAGTCATTATGATCTTTACACAGTATGCGGAAGGGAGAGCAGACTTTGCACTTGGGAGATCCTAAACCCCATCTTCCACTTTCTGTAGTAATAAGGTGTACAGTGAAATAAAATCCTAGTAATAGAGGTAATTCGAGTTTATTACAAAATCAAAGTGAAGGGGCCTCCGTGGTGGCGCAAGGGGTTAAGTCTTAGCACTGTGAAGCTATCTGCAGCCACTGCAGCACGAGTTCAGTCCCGGCCAGGGAGCTGACCCACACGGTGCAGCTCCAGACCGCTCCTGTCTGGTGTCCTCTCAACCCGCCCCCACACACAGACCTCCTGCACCTCTGGCCTATACCCAGTTCTTGTATGTATGCATAAATAAAAATAAACCTTTAAAAAAAATCAAAGTGAATATGTGAACCTTGGAATGGCCTGATGGATTGTGTCCTGAGAGAACTGCTCTGCCAGTCCCATGTTTGAATGGGATTATATAGTTTAGGAAAGATGGGAGTAATCACTTTATGTCCCTGCAGTGATGAAACAATACAAGAAATTTTGAAAAGGGTTTGTAGTTTCCATTGGTAGGCGTTGACCTGTCAAACTTTCCCAGCAATTCTGACTCAGACTTTTGTTTTTATTTTCTATATGTTGAGGGAGGCAAGGCATCAGGGTAGTTAAACTTTTTTTTTTTTTTTTTGGTGGGACCCCCCCGCCGGCAGCAGGGGAATGAACCGGTGCTGCAGAGGCTGCCAGCAGCGCTTAACCGCTGTGCCACCAGGGGAGGCCCCAGGGTAGTTAAACTTTATCTTCATTCTGCTTACAGGATTCTTGGTGGGATACTTGTTTTGATGTTCCTGTAGCTAACTGCCTTCTGGTCAGCAACAGACATCAAGAGGTTGTTGACAGCATTTACGTTGTGGGCGATGGGTTTTCCTTCAGGACTTCACAGCACAGGGCCGGCCAGGTCCAACTCTAGCATCTATGCAAGGGCTCTGCACTTCCTTCCAGACTATCAGACCAGAAGTGGGATCCCAAAATGCACTTTCAATGTTCAAGGGTCTCCTCCAGGAAACCTTTCCTAACCACCCACCAGGCTGGGCAAGGCACCACCTCCCATTCCTTTTCACTTTATGTCATCACTGCAGAAGGTTATTGTCTTGCCCCAGGCTATCAGGGTTTCCCAGTGTCCCCAGCATTGCCCAAAGGGATGACTGCAGAAGGTGAATGACTGATGTCTGAAAGCCAACACAAATACAAGAAGGAAACTTAGAAAACCTCTCTCCCAGTCCCCTTCTCTTATAAAAAATGTCAGTGCTCCAACTCGAAACTAATGTCCAGGGGTGAACATGTTGCTTAAGTCCCCAGATGGGGGGGACTGGTTGAGATTTTGTGGGTCCCTTTTTAAAAATACAAAATTACATGTACATATTTAAATCTTTTTTTTTAAATCATTTTCCCCCCAAGATTTACTTATTCATGCATATAAGAACCCGGGTACAGGCCAGATGCACGGGAGGGTGAAAGGATTCACCAGAGACACTGGGGAGCAGAACAGGCAGATTGACGAAATACACTGCTGAGGGGAGCAGCGGGCGCGGCAGGAGAGGTCTGCTGCGCCATGTGGGATTCTCTCCCGGCTGGCCAGGATCGAACCCGCACTGCGGAGGCTGCCGACAGCTTCACAGCGCTGCGCTCAACCGCCAGAGCCACCAAGGGTGGCCCACAGTACATATTTAAATGGGGGTCCACGGGAACCCCAGGCAAATGGTGGATCTTGAAGCTTAATTTTTTCCAGCTTCACTGAAACCCCATCTCGCTCTCAGCTCTAAAAACAAAATGCCTGACCTCCCTCCTTCTCACACGTATTGCAGAATCCGATCTGTGGGAGCTTGGGCACTCCCAGTTACATTGTAGTGCTCCCCTGCAAAGGCCTCCCCCCTGTATGTAGAGGGACCAAATAAATTCTTCCATTCCTGCCAACTGGTGACTCTGGCCAGAGCTAGGCCAGAGCTAGGCCAGAGCTAGCCACTCTGCCCTCCACTAGGGGACGCCCAACACCGACCAGAGGCAGAGGTTTCAGCTTCTAAGGGAGAGGGGACTGAGGACCAGAACTACTGGGTCCTGGGGCGAAGGGGTTGGGGTCCAGACTCCTGAGTCTGAGGGAGACGTCTGAGGTCTCAGATGCCCGAGTTCTGAGGGAGGAGGAGTCCAGGGGCTCAGCTCCGGGATCCTGAGGGGAGTGAGACTGGGGTGGGGGGTCTGAGAACGGAAGGAGGAGTCTGCAAAGGGCCCCAGGATTGGTTGGAAACAGAACTGGCCTGGGCAGTGGTTTGGTTTGGCTTGTGTCCGTGGGAAACAAGTGGACAGAGCAGGGATTGTTCCTCCAGGGTACCCCCCCTCCGGCACCCCCTGGGCTTGGCAGCCTCAGCTCTTCCCAGGCTCTGGGGACCTGGGGGCATTTCCCACCACCCCTCCCCAAGGCCTCTGTTTTCGACTAGCCTCACAGCTGCCCAGCCTCAGGACCTGGGAAAACTGCCCTGAGGGCTGAACGGGTGTCCGGAGGTTAATGTCAAGCAGATTAGGTGAAATACAGGCCTTCCAGCCTCCTCTGCCAGCCCACTCCTGAGACCTGGGGACCTAGGGCCACGCTCCACTCTCAGGATCCAGGCGTCCCCCACACCAGCCCCGCCCCCATGGGCCCCAGCGCAGTTGCCATGAGCCTCTGCTCTTACTTGCACACCCTGTACTTTCTGCCTGCAATCCCGCCCTGTCCAGATACCCTCTGCCTATTCCAACCACTAATCCCCTCACCTTGACTTGGGGGTTGAGGGAGTAGGCCTCTCTCCTCCCTCACTTTCTCAGCAGGCTTTGTAACCTGTAACCCCCTCCCCTGTAGCCCCTTAAAGAGCCCTTCCTGCCCCAAACCCACCACCTTTCCCAGGTGGTCACACCAGGCCTCCATACCTTCACATCCTCTCCTTTATTGCCCATATGGCTGGCTGAGGTTTTCTTCTCCACTACTTCTCTTGCCCATCCTCTGTCTCTCCCCACTCCCTGCCCCCAACCTCTCTATTGGTGGCCTCAGGATGGAAGAGCACCCAAGTAGGCACCTAGGAAATGTTCTTAGTATTACTAATAAGGAGAGGAGAGCTAACCAAACATACTACAAAGCTGCAATCATTCAAACCTCTGGAACCAAGCCCAGAACCAATCAATAGCTTTTTTCAGAATCACTCCAAAGCAAAACTGTCTGTCTTCCCTGCTGTGTCTCCAGGGCCTAGTACGAAGCCACAGGAATTGTTATGGAGCACAGAGTGTCCAGGCTTCTCCTCTTGCATCCCAGCCCACCTGGGCACTGATTGCTATTCTCAGCAATGTCTTCTGGACATCAGCACCCACCCCCTCACATCCCATCACTAACTGTTGGACCCCTCACTGCAATGGCACCTTTAAAGGGTCGACCCAGGGTCTGGCACTACGGGAGGCCACTGTCAGTATCTGTGTCCATGGTCTGTCTTGATAGACGAGAAAGCCAGGGAAGGAAGGTTTCTAGTTTCATTATTAGAGTCACTGTTATTTTTCCGCTTCTTAGTCCCACTGACCGGTTGAGGCCTCCATCCGTACAATATGTGCCCAAAAAATGTTGGCTGGATTAAATCACTCACCGCCTCTACCAAGCATCTGAGGTCACAGAAAAGTAACCACATCCAAGAGAATAATGTTGGCTTTTTTGTTATTGTTGTTGTTATTATTATTGCTAAGAAGTCAGGCTAGAGTTGGGATAAGATCACGCAAGAGCTGCTAGAATCCTGGAGTCTGGACCACCAACCTTGCGCTCCATGGGCCCCAGCAAGGTCTGGGGAGCCAAGGGATGCTGGGTCTGGGCTCCGCCCCCTCCTCCAGCGACGTTACTGTTCTCCTTTCATCATAGAAAGGAGCTGGTCTGTAAAGATCCCTGCATAAGTGGTCACAGCTGCTGTGCTTTTGCTGTACACGTCCCTGGGGAGAGAGGACAGCGGGTTTGGGAGCTGGTCTCCTGGGTGCAAGAGGGGACAGTCCAGGGATCCGAAATCATGTGTTCTGCCAGAAATGGTGACTGAACCCCAACTCCCGACCCCCTAGGTAGGACAGGGCTGAGATGTCAGAATCTGGGTTCTGATGGAGTCGGGGGCTAAGGATTGAGCTGCTGGGGTCTTGAGGGGGCACCTGCCCTGAGGTGGGAGGGGAAGGGGGCTGGGACTCTGGGGTCCTGGATGTAGGAGAAGTGGGCGCTGGCCCCCTGGTCCTCAGCGAGTGGTACCTGATCTTCTCGTCCATGGCAGTTACGTATGGGTTCTCGTACAGGCCCTGGGCTGCTCTCTTGGCCGAGTGCCAGTAACCGAACAGGGACTCTTGCATCTGGGTGAGCAGGGTGGGGCCAGGCTCATCTTGGCTCAAGGCCCCCTGGACCTCTGTGGGGGGGAGCAGGTTAGGGGAGGTGAGTGGCTGCAGCCGAGGGAGGGGCCAGGGCCCAACCAGAATTGAGCTGGGACGATGCCTGGGGCTCACCCCCTCCTCACTGACCCCCATCCCCCACCCCCACACCATACTCACCAAATCCCAAGAGTAGGAGGAGGAGAAATAAGGCGAGGAAGGATCTGATGCCCATGGTGTCGGGAGACCTGGAAAACTGAGGGTGTGGGGCAGGGGCACTGGAGGTGTCTCTTCCTGGGGTCTCCTTCCTGCTCCCCGCAAGTCAGGTTCCTCATGGGTGGACTTGGGGCTCCCTGTCTTAACATTCCATGGTTCTACTCTTTTGGTCTTCACATCTTAATTCTGACAGCCCATTCATTCCTTCTCGTTCCTCCCCTGAGTACCTACTATGTGACAAGCACAGTGTGCCCTGCTGGGAGCACGAGCAAGGCTCTGTCTACGGAGCCCACATGAGGGAAGCACAAAGAACAAAGCAGCAGGGGAGGGCAGTGTCGCCTGGGAATATCTCAGCAGAGGGACAGGGTAAGAAACAGCACCCCAAGAGCAAACCACACTCCAGGCTCTGTTCTGCCAGATGCACCTAGGAACTATAGCACCCAGCACCCCTGTAATCACCCACATTTTGGAGATGAGACTTCAAAAAGGGGGACATCAAGACCTGTTCCCCATGGGGGAACAGCGCAGGCAAACAGTCCATGATTCTAGATTCTGGGCCTCTAGCACCAGAATCGAATGTCATGACCGCGGGGTTCTGACTGTCCCATCTTTGCCCCCTTCCTGCTGGCACCCCACCCCCATTTTGGTCCTTCTCTTACCGGACTCTGGCGGGCTCTCCTTATCAGCTCTAAATGGGCAGAGAAGAGCTTTATAGCTCTTGAGATCCACCTCCCCCACCCCATGGCCTAGGCCAAAGTCCTGGCCAACAGCATCGCTGAGGGGGTGGGGTGGGGGCAGAGAGGGCAGTGACATCCCCCGAGGTCAAGCCAAGAGGACCACCGATGAAAGTTCACCCCTGAGAGAGATAGGCTGGGTGGGGGCTGTGGCAGGGTTCCTGGGCACCCACGAGGAATGGGGTCTGGGGTTTTCTTCAGATGAGAAGTGAATGAGGGGCCACTGAAGGGCAGGCGGACCCCACCTGCTTCCAGCCTTCAGCCACCACCCCAAACTGAGGGGCCTTGGAGCCTCCCACCCTCCATACCCCACAGCAGCAGGGAGTGGGGGAGGTGCCAGGGGGATTAGCTCCCAGATCCCTTACCCCAAGGCCCCCCATTGTCCCTCCACTGCAGCTGCCATTTCCTCTACTCATTAACTGCTGGGGGCGGGGTGACCTCTGGGGTCTTGGGAGGGATCCGACAGGGATATGGATCAGAGTTTCTTTATTGTAGAGGCTGGAGACAAGTTCATCCTATATCCTGTCCCCACAGAAAAGCTGGGGACACATGCTGTGGGCCTTGTTGACGAGGTTGTCCTTGGAGCTGCGCAGCCAGGCCCGTGTGCGGGGCCCCAGGTCCTTCAGGTGGTCTTCATAGTAGGTCTGCAGAAAGCCCTGAAAGGCACTAGGGCCCCTGCAGGAGGACCTCAAAGTGAGACCTTGCTGCCTCCAAGAATTCTGTGCTGTTTACCTGCTCCTCCCACAGACAGGAGTCCAGGCCCCCCGCCCCCTCCCTCAGACAGGAGTCCAGGCCCCCAGCCCCCTCCCTCAGACAGGAGTCCAGGCCCCCAGCCCCCTCCCTCAGACAGGAGTCCAGGCCCAGCTCTTCCCAAGACCCAGGAGTTCACCCCCCACTCCCGCCCCGCAAGAGTCCCGCCATCTACACACACTCACCAGAACCACTGCCACCTTTCTCTGGTCCTGGTCACCAATGGCTCCATGAACTCCTTCACCTTGCCCTGAACCAGGCTCCAGGGACCCCTTGCTGGCTCTGGTGGGGGACTCGGGGTTTCTACAAGCATTGTTTGCTGGCATTCTAGATGAGACCAGAGGCAACTTGGGTGGCTGGACCCCAGAACCTCTCCTCCTCCCTGTCCCCCATGCTCACCTCATTGTCCCTCCTGGTGGCCCAAGGTTCAGCCCCTTGCCAGCTCTAAGTCCCCCTGCCGACCACTGGTTGTCTCTGGCCCTCCACGCCGTGGTCCCTGCTGTCACCCCTCTGTCTGCCTGTTGTCTTCTCCCTTATTCTGAATCTCTACCACTCATTCTAGCTCCCCTCTCATGCCATCTTCACCTCCTGCGGCCCCGTCTGCTCTCCCATGGCCCCTACAATGGCTAAGCCACCTTGCAGGCCATGGGGGGAGAGCACAGGCCCTTCTGCCCTCAGGGATGGAGACTGACTTAATTGAGTCCCAGTTCCCCCTGTGGAGCCTTTCTTGTGCCCACCTGTCTGTCCAGCACCCCCACATGTGGGCAAAACCTCATGTACAGAGAGGAGCCATGACGAGGGCACATGTACACACACGCACACAGACACCCTGTCTCCAGCCCATGGCCTCTCTGAGACTCAGTTTCTCCTTCTGTAGAGTGGGTTGATGGAAGCACCTACCTCGTAGGGTAATGGTGAGGAGCAGTTCACCCCTATGAGAAACTCAGAATGGTGCCGCACACAGGGTGGGCATTATGGACACACTAAACAAAACCTTAAAGGCATGTGCAGAACCCAGACATAGTCACAAACCAGCACACGCGGCCACCTGCTCTTGGGCCGGACACTCGAGTCAGATAAATTACACAAACACCCCATAAAGTCACACATGGACACAGTCGTGTACCTGTGTTTTCACAGACACACATTTACCATGACCGCATGACCTTATGCTCACACATACATGGCACATACGCGTACATACGTGTACACACACGTGCACGCACACACCTCCAGGACCATCCACTGGCGTCTGCATCGACCGCACCTGCACTCTCCATGCCCAGCTGCTCTCAACACATCCACCCCAGACGTGCACACCAATCTCCACGCCACAGACCACATCCTCCGGACCCACATGTCTGCAAACCCGCAGGCCACACAGCCATACTCCAGCCCGCACCTCTCCCAGTCTGCTCCTCCTTACCCACAGCACAGGCCAGAACCAGAGCGAAGAAGCACAGGGAAGGCAGGGCCCAGGGCCTTTGTCCAGGGAGGGACATTTCTGGGGGCTTTGTCCCTCTGTCCTTCTGTGCTCAACACTCCAGGCTGGGGGATGGGGAGGCTGCCCCGAGCAGCCCTCCCCTGGCTGCCTCCCCACGCCCCTTGGCAGAGACTTCAAAGAGAGGTGCAGGTGACAGTGACAGAGGCCATGCCCCCCCCGCTGGCCTCCCTCCTTCCCAGCTCCCAGCTCCCCAGCCTGACAGGAGAGGGCAGAGGGCTCTTTGGCCTTCTGTACTGAACCAGGTTGGAATCTGATTCCATCCCATGTGGCCACCCCTCTTTCTGGCCTCAGTTTCCTCCTCTGTAAAATAGGGCCACTGTCCATACTGCAGAGATGAATTGGAAGTTGCTATAAGAGGAACGTTCTTCAGGGCCTCCCTGGTGGCCCAAGGGGTTATACACCGCTCTGCGAAACTATCTGCAGCCACCGCAGCACAAGTTCAGTCCCAGCCTTGGAGGTGACCCACATGGTGCAGCAGACCTCTCCTGTCTCGCCCGCTGCTCCCCTCAGCAGTGTATTTCAGTAGATCTGCCTGTTCTGCTCCCCACTCTGTCTCTGGTAAAGCCTCTCACCCCCGCATCTCTGGCCTTCATCCCAGCTCTTGTATGCATAAATAAATAAATCTTTAAAAAAAAAAAAAAGAGGAAAGTTCTTCACCTGGAGCCGGGAAATAAAGGTGCTCACAGGTCGTGGCTGTTTGAAATCACTGCTTTCCTTTCTAGGACCCGTAGGCCATCCGGGGTTCAGGACCACACCCACCTTAACCTGTGTGACTGGAGGCAAAGTTAGGCCCTCCTCTGGGGCTCTATTTTTTCATCAGCTAAATGGGGATGGTGCTAAGCACTGCCTTCCACAGAGCAGGCTGGCAAGGCCTGAGAGGGCAGCTCTGGCCACACACAGTAGGAGGTTGTCAACAGCAGCCTCGCTGGCTCTGGCCAAGGCCAGACAGAAAGAAAATGAGCCTGTTTCTCCTGGAGGTCCCAGCCAGGAGACGGTGGAGGGCTTGGCCAGCAGACTGCGCGTGCGCTGGAATCCGTGGTCTGGGGTTGCCAGAATAACAGGACACCCAGTGTGATTGGAATTTCAGATTAATGATGATTTTTTTTAATAAAAGTATGTTGCAATATTGGGGAATTTTTTTGTTGTTTAAAATTACTTGTCTAAAAACTTGTAAGCTGACTAGAGATCTGAAGCATACAGCAAGGAGGGGGAGGCAGTGGGGTCAAAACAGGAGAGGGAAGAGCCGAGGGGACTGTGGTGATGGATCATGGTACTGTGGTGGTGGTGGAAGTACGGGGATGACACCTGAGGGGAGAAATCAAATACTGCCCCAAAATGAACAACAATGGAGAAAATAAACACAAAAATTTAATTATAAAATAAAATAAAATTACTTGTCTCCAAATTATTTGTTGTTTATCTGAAATTCCAGTTGCCCCGGGCATCCTGTGTCTGCAAGCGGTTGATCTGACTACCTGACCGTGGCCGCAAATCTGACAGCTGTACCAGGCAGTCCAGACCCAAAGGCTTCTGAGAACACTGTGCATGGAGGGGGGAGGCTTACCTGGGCTTTGGCAAACAGTAGGTGCTCAGCAAATGTTCCTTGGGGCTCCTCACAATCACCAGCAAAGTAAAAGCTCCTAGAGTTTGGGGTAATGCCTATTAGTCATGGTGGCTCAAATTGTGAATAAATTTAATGCCACTGACTGGTAGACCTGAAAAAAAAAGAAAATGGCCAATTTTATGGTTTTTGCTATAATTGGGAGAAAAATCACCATGCCGAATGTTATGAAAAACCACCCCACGTGGGTTCCAGAGTCTGACTCCACCTCATTCCCACTACAAGCTGCTTACCGCCTCCAGGCCTGTTTCTTCACCAGGAACGGGAGCCTGTGAACTGTTTACCTGGAAGGGTAAAGGAGATTGCAAACATAAAAGAGCAGTGAGCAGCGCCACAGTCCATGAAGCCCCTCAGTCAAGGTCAGCTGCTGTTTCCTAACATATTTCCTGAGCACCCCAAAGCACCAGGTGGCCTTGCAGGACTTTAGCAAGTTAACTCGGGGAACGGACTTGCGACAGCCCTGACTGGCAGGCATCTTTATATTCCCATTTTACAGATGAGGAAACTGAGACCCATGGGGTGTGGGGGTGAGGCCGCTTACCAAAGGCTCTCCAGCTGGCAAGTGGTGAATTTGAACCTGGCCCTCTTGCCTGCACTACCGAGCCAAGCCCGTACAACCTCTGTCCCATTCCCCCACCTCCCCACTGGAATTCTAGAGGGCAAGAGGGAGGTTGGAGCAGTGGCGGGGGCGGGATAGGGAGGTTGCTGACCCCTGCCCCAGCTCCAAGGTAAGCATGGCTGTTTGTTCTTTGCTGCCTGCAATGTTTGCCATCTGGGGACAGGAACAGGCTGAAGGTTGGACCTCAGAGGCAGCTCAAAAACAACCGCCAGGTGGGGGAGGAATGGAGATAGAGAAGTCACAAGGAGGGAAGTCACAAGTGGGGGTGGAAGTTGTGGGCTCTGAGACCCCATCATGTGTGTGTCTCGGGGTAGGAGCTCCTGCTGAGCCTGCAGTTCTGTGTCTGCGAGATCACGCCGTCTCTTTCTCTTTTTTTTTTTTTTTTTTTTTTAAAGATTTATTTATTTATTTATACAAGCACTGGGTACAGTCAGAAGCACGGGAGGGTGAGAGAATTCACCAGAGCCAGAGCGGGGAGCAGAGCAGGCAGAAGGACCGAAGTACACTGCCGAGGGGAGCAGCGCGCGGCAGGAGAGGTCTGCGCGCCATGTGGGACCCTCCTCCGGTGGCCGGGGAACAGCCGGGGATCGAACCGGCGCCACAGAGGCCACGGGCAGCTTCGCAACCCAGCGTTCAACCGCTGCGCCACCGGGGAGGCCCCGTCTCTTTCTCTTAACACTAGGGTTCCTGCCCCAATCCGAACACCATGCACCCGCCTCCCTTCTGTTATCATATCCCTGACCACTCACCTCCCCAGGGCTTGGGTTGTGGCTGGGAAGTCTATGATGAAAATCTCTCTTTCTTCATTTCTTTTTTCTTCTTCCATTGGGAGCATCTCCATTCACTTTTAAAAAATTTAGCTATTCTTACACCATAAAATTCATCCTTTTAAAATATTTAAGTTTTGGGTACATTCATTAATTCCAGAACATTTCATCACCCCAAAAGGAAACCCCCCCTACCCATTAGCATTCACTTTCATTGCCTTCTCTCCCAGCAGGGCAACACTAATTTTCTTTCTTTTTTTTTTTTAAAGATTGATTGATTGATTGATTGAATTGAATTGAGTTATACATACATACATACAAGCACTGGATACAGTCAGAAGCGCGGGAGGGTGAGAGAATTCACCAGAGCCAGAGCAGGGAGCAGAGCAGGCAGAAGGACCGAAGTACACTGCTGAGGGGAGCAGCGGGCGGCAGGAGAGGTCTGCGCGCCATGTGGGACCCTCACCCAGAGGCCGGGGATCGAACCGGCGCTGCAGAGGCTGCGGGCAGCTTCGCAACCCAGCACTCAACCGCTGCGCCACCAGGGAGGCCCGCAACACTAATTTTCTATCTGTCTTGATAGATACCCCTTTTCTAGACACGTCATAGGCATGAGATCCCTCCACAAGATCATGTTTTAACCATTCACTCATGTGGAAGCATCAGTCCCTCATTCCTTTTCATGGCTGTATAATATTCCACCACATAAATACACATATTCACATGTAATGATGTTTGTTACAGACGGACTACATATACCACAGCAGCTCCAATAGGCTGTATCATCTAGCCCAGGTATGTGTATATAGGTTTGTATCATTACACTTGATGATGTTTGTACAATGGCAAAATCACCCAAATACTCATTTCCCAGTACATGTCTCCATCATTGAGTGACATGTGACTCTACCTATCCTGGAGGCACATCTGTTATATGGATTTATTTTTTTTTAAGATTTATTTATTTATGCATACAAGAGCTGGGGTTTAGGCCAGAGATGTGGGGGGTGAGAGGATTCACCAGAGACAGAGTGGGGAACAGAACAGGCAGGTTAACTGATATACACTGCTGAGGGGAGCAGCGGACGAGACAGGAGAGGTCTGCCTCGCCATGTGGGTTCCTCCCTGGCCGGCCGGGGATCAAACTTGTGCTGCAGAGGCTGCGGATTGCTTCACAGTGCAGTGCTTAACCCCTTGCGCTACCAGGGAGGCCCCTATATGGATTTATTTATTCATTCATTAGTTGATGAACATTCAGGCAGGTTCCACTTTTTGGTGATTTTGAATAATGCCAATTGGAACATCTGCGCACACAAATATTTGTGTGAACATGTTTGTGGTCCTTGTTGGTAGCTACCCAGGTGTGAAATCGCTGTGTTCACATAACCGTGATTAAATTTTTCAGGCACTGCTAAAATTTTCCAAAGATCACTCATCCATCCATTCATTTTTGAGTTTCATTGAGGTAACTTTATTTTATTGGCATTTGATTCAGAGGTATAGGATTGCACCTCTTCAAATGTATATCATCACAACACACCCACCACTGAGGCATCCACAATCCTTCATGACAGTCCACTGGGGCCCCTGTATGTTTGTTCTTATGCTCCCCCCCTTCATTTTTGTATTCGGTTTTCCATTCATGTGTTGTGCGGCAAACATTCACAGGGAGGCGTGAGTTGCTTAGCACATTCTTCCTCAGTTCGCTGACTAATTCTGAATTGTCTTTCAGATTTCAGTGCAATGTCCCCTCCTCTAGGCAGTACTCTGTGACCCCTGAGGACCCATCCCCCATTCCTGCCCTGCCCGGTGTGTGTGCTGTGGGGACCATCTGCAAGTGCACCTTACCAGGTTTCTGAAAACATGTCTGGCCCTCTCTTTTTCTAGGTATGACCAGGACAATTGGCTCTCTGAGGTCCTGGAGGTATGTTTGTAAGTCTGAGAACCTGTAAACCCAGAGCCTGTCTTGCTTCCAAACATAAAGTGCTAAAAGGAAAATTGCAGAATTAGAATCAATGAATTTTTCACTGTAATGACTGGCAGTCAAGCATCTACCTGTCAGCTGCTCTGTGGAATGTAAACAGGGGCATGCCTTGATTCAAGAAGTATGGCTGCGCAGGAGTTCGATCCCCAGCCAGGCAGGGAGGTGACCCACATGGCACAGCAGACCTCTCTTGACTCGCCAGCTGCTCCCCTCAGCAGTGTATTTCAGTAGATCTGCCTGTTCTGCTCCCGCTCCCCACTGTCTCTGGTGAAACCTCTCACCCTCTGGCACCTCTGATGTACACCCCAGCTCTTGTATGCATAAATAAATAAATCTAAAAAAAAAAAGTTATGACTGCAGTGACCACTGGTGCCCAGCACAACTCTGGGCACTTGGGGGCACTGCAGGGAGGACAACTCCCATGAATTTGACATCCCAACAGCAGGAGACGCTGGAGCAGATGAGCAAGGGGATAGCCTGTGATCTGTCACAGGGTAATAAACAGTGGAAAGAAAGGCAGCCAAGGAGATAGGAGACTGTGTGCAGAAGCCCGATGAATAGGGATGGCTTTGAACAGAGACCTGGAGGTGGTGGGCCAAGCCAGGCAGATATCTGGATGTCTAGGGGAAGAGCATTCCAGGCCTGGGGGAACAGCCAGTCAAAGGCCCTAAAGGTAGGTGGAAGCCAGCCGAGGGCAGGTGAGGGTGGATGAGAGGGGCTGAGATGAAAGTGCAGGTGTAATCCCTTAGGTGGGGGTGCGACAGACAGATTGTGCAGAGCTCCGAGACCTAGGATCTCCGGGTTTTCCTCTGAGAGTGGGTTTTTTGATCCAAGGAGGGGCACAATCTGACTTATGTTCTAGCGCGGTCCCTTGGGTGGTTGAGTGGGAAGAGAGGGTCGGAGATTGGGGTGTTGATTGGGGCGGGGGTGCAGGTAACAGTGTTAAGTACAGAGTTGCATTATTTCCCACTTTGTTCTCCACCCTCATTCCTGATCCCCTCCCCCTCCCTTTGCGTGTGTGTGTGTGTGTGTGTGTGTGTGTGTGTGTGTGTGTAGAAGTACGGGGGTGGGGGGTGCAGGCCAGGGCTACGGGGAAGTGAGAGGATTCACCAGAGACAGAGTGGGGAGCAGGACAGGTGGATCTACTGAAATACACAGCCGAGGGGAGCAGTGGCTGAGACAGGAGGGGTCTGCTGCACCATGTGGGGTCTGCTGCACCTGGCTGGGGATGGAACTCAGGCCTTAGAGGTGATAGGGTTAGGGTTAGCATAGAGACTTAACCCCCAGGCCACCAGGGAGGCCCTTCCCTCTGCTCTTAAATGTCTTTCAGATGTGTTTGGCATGCAGCTCTCAGAAAGAACCGGCCCGCCTAAGGCTGTCCCTTCTCCTGTTGCTTTTTGGTTTTGTTTTTTTAAAGATTTATTTATTTATGCATACAAGAGCTGGGGTACAGGCCAGAGGTGCAGGGGTAGAGGATTCACCAGAGACACAGTGGGGAGCAGAACAGGCAGACTGACTGAAATACACTGCTGAGGGGAGCAGTGGGGAGACAAGAGAGGTCTGCTATGGCATGTGGGCAGCTCCCTGGCTGGCTGGGGATCAAACTCATGCTGCAGAGGCCCAGGCCGCGAATTGCTTCATAGTGCTGTGCTCAACCCCTTGTGCCACCAGGGAGGCCCTCTCCTGTTGCTTTTTGTACTTCGTGCTTGCTACACTGCTACATCTCTCCACCTTGTGCTAGTATTAGCTTGTTCTTTCTGCAGTCACATGGTGTCCTGCCCTTTTTTCTTCTACCCTGCAGGGATGAACTCCCAGGTGGCTGCCAGCTCCCATGCCAACAAATAACAAGGCATTGAGCATCCTGTCTGTCTGCCCTGGTGTTTCTCTGGCCCTGTGCTGGACCAGAGTTGGCATCACTGGGATACAGGGAAAGCCAGGTGTGCTGTGTGCCTCCCCTGGTGCCTCTACCTTCACCACACCTGGTATTTTCCATTCTCCTGCTTCTGCCAGGTGACTGAGGGCAGACTGGTGTCTTCCGGTTGTTTTCATCTCCATGTCTGTGAGTCTGAGTCTCACTCACCTCATGAACTGTCCTTTCTTTCTGTCCCTGTGCATCTCTCTGGCACTGCAGGAAATGATCTGAGAGCTCTCCTGGGGGCTTCTGAAAAGGCTTGGAAAATAAATGGATAGACTCCAGAATGCTAGAAAATGGGTACGTAGGAATTAGTGTTTGTTTGTTTAAATTGGTATAGAATAGACTGAGCTAGCCAGTGGCAGCTGGACTCCCCATGTGAACTCTAAGGAGAGACCAGGAGCATTCTGATCTGCTGGATAGCATGAGAATGACACCTGGGGGGATGTGGAGTCACAGCAGGAGTGCAGGCAGGCCAACTAGGGGGGGAGGGAAGTGGGGTGAGAATGTGGCCCTGGAGATGCAAACTGGTGCAGTTACTGTGGATATAACAAGAGTGGAATGTCCTGTCCTTAGAACATCCCAAAGAGAACTAGCAGAGGGGCCAGTAATCCCTCTTCTGGGTGTTTCTCAAAAATAGTGAAAATACTCACTCAAAAAAAAATGTGGGGCCTCCCTGGTGGCTCAGGGGTTAAAGACACAGTGCTATCAAGCTGTCACCAGCTACTGCAGCAGAAGTTCAATCCCCAGCCGGCTAGGGAGCTGACCCACATGGCACAGCAGACCTCTCCTGTCTCGCCCGCTGCTCCCCTCAGCAGTGTACTTCAGTTGATCTGCTTGTTCTGCTCCCCACTCTGTCTCTGCTGAATTCTCTCACCTCCCCTGCAACTCTGGCCTACAACCCAGTTCTTGTATGCATCGATAAATGAATCTTAAAAAAAAAAAAAGACATGTGCACCCCCACGTTCATTGCAGCGTTATTCACAATAGCCAAGGTATGGAAGCTACTCAAGTGGCAAATGGCAGAGGACTGGATAAAGAAGGTGTGGTATGGGCCTCCCCAGCGGCGCAGTGGGTTGAGCACAGCACTGTGAGGCTGTCCGCAGCCTCTGCCGTGCGGGTTCTATTCCCAGCCTGCCAGGGAGATTCCCACATGGCGCATCAGACCTCTCTTGTCACACCCACTGCTCCCCTCAGGAGTGTATTTCGGTCGTCTACCTGTTCTGTTCCCCACTCTGTCTCTGGCGAGTCCTCTCACCCTCCCGTGCCTCTGGCCTGTACCCCAGCTCTTATATAAAAATAAATAAATCTTTAAAAAAAAAAAAAGAAGGTGAGGTCTGCATACACAATGGCATTCTACCCAGCCAGGAAAAAGATGAAATTTTGCCATTTTTGACAATATGGATGGATCCTGAGGGGATTATGCTGGGTAAAATAAGTTAGAAGGAGAAAGACAAATACTGTCTGACGTCACTCATCTGTGGACTATAAAGGGAAACAAGCAATGAAGCAAACAAAACCAAATAAAGAACAAACCCTTAGACTCTGACAAGAGAACGGTGTTTACCAGAGGAAAGGGAGGAAGGGACAGCTTGGTGGTGGATGGCAGTGGGCATCTGGGGTGGGGGGACAGTGGTGGGATATATACATAGTTGCTGAGGTGAGAGATGATGCACCACCACCCCCCACCCAGGTCATACCCCACTCTCACCACTTCAGGTTGTATGATGTCACACAAGTGACTTTAACTTGGGCCTGTTTCTCAGTAGGGGCAGAGACAGCACTGACTTCAGAGGGGTTTTATGAGAAAATAATATTGAGGGTCCCCTCTCCCCAATTTAGCATAATTATTTATTTCACCAAGTATTATGGAGCTTCTATATCCTGCCAAATCCCATGCTGGGCTATGCCTGGGGTCACATTGGGGTGATGACAGCCCTGGCTTTGTCCTTCTGGGGCTCACAGTCCAGTGGCAGAGACAGACCTGTCAGCAGACAGTGATGATCCAGACAGAGTGGGAAAGGATGGGATGGAGGTGCTTGATTTAGCCTGGGGATCAGGGGGGGCTTCCTGGAGTAGGAGGCAACAAAGCTGAAATTTGCCCTGCTCCTGATCATCCTTCATGAGCCACTTAAAAGTGTAATAAACAAACAAACAAACAAAAAAGTGTAATAAGCATCTACTGTGTGCCTGGTAATAAATCAATCTGAAGCCAAGGGAAGAAGGTACCAGGAGCTCTGTGACTTGCACATGTGACTTCACCCCTCTGGACCTCTAGCCTTCACAGGATTAATAGTACCCAGTGCCTCAAGTTCCTGGAGGATTCTTTTGAGATTATGAAGTTAACAAGTTCCCAGCCTGGGGCCAGTACAAAATGTTGAAAACACTTGAATCTTGGCCTCCCTCCCCCATGGGGCAGCTCTGACCCTGTCCCATTGTCCCCTCCTCACAGCAAAGCAGCAGTCAGCATTCTCCACAGGATTTTTATTGGTTTGTGTGTGGGGGTGGGGGAGATGGCAAGGGCATTATGGAGGAAATCCTCAGAGCCCCTTCCTGGGGCACAGCTACAGAGCAGCTGGGTAGCCTTCCTGGGTTCAGGAGAAGGTAGTTTTTACACGTTCCTTTATTTTGTGGAAGACTCCTGAAAACCAGTTCCTGTAGAGAGAGGGGCCATGTGGGGGGGGAGAGGTCACTGTTTTATACCACCCCCTACCTGACTCCCTGATCTTCCTCTTCCCCAAGACAATAGCCTTGGACCAGGTGGCCACCTTCTATGCCTCTGCCATCCTAGGCCAGGTGGCCAACTTCTATGCCTCCATTCCCCAGATGAATCAGAGGAGCTTGAGATGAGAACACTGGACCCTGGCCTTGCTTTCAAGGCCTGCCAGCTCTTGCTTCCAACCTTTTCTCTGTCTCCTACTCATTCAAGGGCATGATCCAGCCTCCCTGCCTTTGCCCAGGCGATTCGCCTTGCCTGGAAGGTCACCCTTTCCTTAATTATCTACAGATCTACCTGCCTCAGGGCCTTTGCACCCACCTCCACCAGGAACATGTTCCCCAAGTTTCTAGGCCTGTTTGGATTTTTTTTTTTTGACCATTCAGATTTCATTTTAAAGTATTACTATTTCCAAAAGATCCAATCACCAAGTTCACAAGAGCCTCTCCCTCCCCAGGCCTGACTTGTTTACACCCATCCTGCTAATTATCTTTTTAGGGCTTAGCTATGTTTGACTCATCTCCTAGAAATTCACTGGTTATGTCTGTTCTCCTTCCCCCTACTAAGGTCAGCTCCCGGCAGGCTGAGACTTTATCTTATGCACCACTGTTAATCCCAACACTGAAACAGTTCCTGGCACTTAGTAGATGTTTGATAAATATTTGTTCATGAATGAATGATTCTCTAACTCCCCACAGGTACCGAGATTGGTTAAAGAATGCATTATTTACACTGTGCTAAGCAATGTGCCAAGTCCTCTAGTTTACTTCCCAGGGGACAACCCATTTTACAGATGCAGAAACCGAAGCTCCTGCGATCTGCTCTCCTCCCAAGATCACACAGGGATCAGAGGGTGCGTCTGATTCCCATACATGGGTCTTTCACCATGCAGGACCTTCCCTATAGTGTGTTGAGATCTGCGCCCCAAATCTGAGCAACTGGAGACCCAGCTGTGACCACAGGGACCTTGTCAATCTCTCTGGGCCTGTTTTCCTAATCTGTTTATTGATAACCCCCGCCCTCCTATGCCTGGGTATGTGTGTGTTGGGGGAAGGGGAGGGAGTGCTGACCGGGCCTTTGATGGAAATTCACTCTCTTTGATGCGGTGCAAGGTTGTCCGGGCCTTCTGCCCCAGGTTCTTTCCAATCTCCTTCAGCTTGCCCGGGATGCTCTCCAAGGTACCCGAGATATCTGGGTCTGCCTGCGCTGGGGTTGGACCTACGCAGAATATGGACAGGGATACAACATTTCAGTATTGGCAGCCCTTAGAATGATAGTCCAGGGATGGGAAAGAAGATCCTTGAATGTGATCTTGGTGGGGGTCTTGGTGTTAGCACGGAGGGAGCAGATGGGACTCAAGCTGCTAGGAATTGCTTTACTCTCAGGCCTGGACACCCCTTCCTTAGTCTCCTCACCCCTACCCCTTGCCAGGCGGTAAAAGCATGACAGCCAATCCTGGAGGAGTAAACATCCTACGTCATCAGTTGCTAGGGCTCCCCTGAGTAGATCTGCCCCTGCAAGACCACCTTGTAGAGAATCCTTAAGACCCACCCGACGAGGTGGGGGTGAGGCTGGGGGCTATCAGCGGATGACAGGGAAACCGGAGCACCAAAGGGTGCTCCTGAAGCTCTCAGGAGTTCACTAAGCCGGGACAGCAGGCCCATGGCTTGCTTCCTGCTCCCAAATCTCTAACTCCCAGTCTCCCGCCCCACCTTTACCTTCCAAAACCACTGAAAGAACCACCAGCAGGACTGACAGCGACAGGATGAGCCTCATGGTGGGGCCGGAGGGACACTCTGGAGGCAGAGGTGGGGGCGACAGTGATCAAGGAACCCCTCCTCCCTCCCTCCCCCAATGCCCCTCACCCTCCCTTTTTTTGGTGCCTGGAGGGGGGTGGATCTCCCCTCCTGAGCACTGAGCACCCACCTGGATCCGTGGCAGGGCAGCAGAGATGGAAGGTCGTGGCCTGGCCAGGGACTTTATCAGCTGAGGCGGGGGCGGGGCAGGTTAATCTCCCTCCCCTTAAGCCTCCCTGGCGCCTGTCTCCCTGTGCCCACCCACCTTTTCCTTCTATTGCCCTTCTCGCGGGGGGTGGGGGGTCAGGTGGGGTGCAGGCACATTCATGACACCCAAGTAAACCTCTGGCTGTGCAGACTGGCCTCTCCCTGTGGGGAGACCAGTCACAGCCCCTCTCCCCCATCAGAGGACAGCCTTCAGCCCCTCTCCTCAGTTTAATAGCCTTCTGCCAGCCTCAAGGGCTCTCAGTAACTTTCTTTTTAGCTCCTAACTCACTTCGGTGTCCCCAGGCCACCTCTTCCACACCTCCCCCTCCTAGCAAGCTTCTCTAGCTCAAACAGGTCTTACTCTATGTCTCCTGGGTTACCCCGTGTACCCTCCCCTGCCCCCCCAACTCTTACCCCTTATACCACCTCCAGCCTCTTTCAGGCTTGTCCTACTGGGCCCCTAGCGCCTTGCATCTGGGGGCAGCCCAGGCCTCCCTGAATACTCTCCAGTTTCTTAACTTCACAGACCCCCAACCTCCCTTTTGGGGAAGTGTCTTTTCAGCCTGTCTAAAGCACAAAACCTCAGCTGCAGAGTTCCCAAAGAGTTACTCTCCATCCATTCCCTCCTGGCCCCCCACCCACTTCCGTTGCTCGCTCCCCCACTTCCCAAGCTTCCAGAGGTCCATCTGCTCTTATTCACCCTCTCAGGCCCCCTCCTGGCTCCAAGCACCCCCTCCAACCCCATCTCCCTTCCCATGGCCACATCCGTCCCCAGGGCTGGAGTCCAGTGCTTCCCCCCTGCCCCCTGCTGCATTTGACCGCCAGTGAACTCTGGCAGCTGAGGAGGGGGGTGGCCCTGGACCCAGACTCTAGGTTGGCTGGCCTTGTGTCCCCACGACCATGTGCCAGCCTTGGGGTGAGGGGATGGTTGTGAAAGGGATGCACAGACTTGACCCTGGCAGGATTGCGACACCCGCCAGGCCCAGTTCTGCTTTAATTTCCAGTTCTGCTCAGCCCCCCAGCTGCCCAGCTCTCCCCAGACATCCTCACAGTGTCTGCCCCCTACTTCCCTACCACACAGGAATGGAAAAATAGCTCTGCTTCCCCAGTCTCATCCTCATCTCAGCACTAGGGGCTTCCATTCACAGATGGAGAAAGAACCGAGCACAGCAAGGCTCAGGGAGAAGCTCTGCCGGGTAGGGCGCTTGGGCTCTCTCCTTGGGGACTCCAGGCTGTCTCTCTGGATCCCTGCTGGGGTCAGCCTCTGTCCATTGCACCCCCTGCCTGTGCCCTCTTTCCACCTCTAGATCTGACAGGAGCTGCAGGGAGGTTGGACACCCTTTGCTCAACATCTTCAAATGCAAGAATTCAAGATTCAGGGCCTCCCTGATGGCGCAGGGGGTTAAGACGCAACCTATGAAGCTATCCGCAGCCTCTACAGCATGAGTTCGATCCCCCAGCCAGCCAGGGAGCAACCACATGGCGCAGCAGACCTCTCCTCTCTCACCCGCTGCTCCCCTCAGCAGTGTATTTCAGTCAGTCTGCCTGTTCTGCTCCCCACTCTGTCTCTGGTGAATCCTCTCACCCCCCCACACCTCTGGCCTGTACCCCAGCTCTTGTATGCATAAATAATTTAATCTTTAAAAAAAAAGAATTCAAGATTCAGCTACTCAAGTGGGAGAAGTGCTTGGCTGGTGCCATCTGCATCATTGACACTGGGGGAAACTGAGGCTCAAAGGGCACAGCTCCACTCGGGGACACAGATTGAATTGGCAGCAGGCTTGGCTGGGACTAGGCCTCTTGCCTGAGCCCACTGACACGTCCCCTCTTCACTCAGCCTCAGGGGGAGGGGGGGGGCTCGGGGGCGAGAGCCGCAAGGAGGGGCGCCTACCTCCAGAGGGTGCCGAGGGTGTTCGTTCGGGACAGCAACGACCCAAGCTGGCAGAGATGTGCAGCGAGGGCTGGGCCTGGGAGATTCCAGCTCAAGCCCCGGCCTGTCCCTGGTGGGGGGGAACCCTGTCCCCTTCCTGAGAACTGAGGGGGTGGGAGAGGAGAGCGCCTGAGGCGGGACTTCAACCCTGGCCTCTGAGACATTCCAGCTCCAGCTCCAGCTCCAGCCCGGAGCCCTCTCTGCGCCCTGGCAGCCCCTCCGCTGTGCGCGGGCTCAGGAGCGCGCATGCGCCTCTCCCCGGGCTTGGCAGCCCGGGCCCAGCACCCAGTAGGGCCGGTGGGGCTGGAGGCGAGGTCGCCCACCCAGCTGGAGAGGGAGCCAGAAACGGATGGAGGGGGGCAGGGAAGCACCGAGCCCAGTGAAGGGACTTGGTAACCCAGAAGACACAGAAGGGCCAGGACAGACCCTCAGATGGAGGGAGAAGAGAGAAAAGCAACAAGCAGGGCTGGGGGCAAGAGAAACCTGAGGAGGGAAGAGATAAAAAGATTAAGGTGCTGGAAAACAGGAAGCCAGAGAAATGAAAGTCTCAGTGAGCGCAGGCCAGGATCAGATAAGACTGTCTGGAGGCGGTGGGAGAATAGTGAGTGGGAAAAAAATGCACATGGCTTAATATCGGCAGGGCCGCTCAGGACCTGTGAGGGCCAGGACTGTGACGCCGTGTTCTGAGGCCCCGCGCACCAAGGCCAATTTGCTGCCCGAGTGAGGTAGTCAGGAGCACCTGCAGGATTTACCCCTGGCGTGGGTTTGTTGCCGTCTCAGAGTGTTAAGAGAGGCAGAGAGGAGAGAGTGGTGGAGAGCAGCAGGGGCAGGAAGGAAAACGTGAGACTCAGGAGGGGCAGAAGGAAGCAGACAGAGACAGGCGAGATCAAGAGATGGACACAGCGCAGGCCTGTGTGGGGAAGGGAAGCTGGAGGAAATGATGGACGACTCGGCTGTGAAGCTTGATGAATCTTTATTGAGCTAGGGCCCACCTGGGCGCGGCGGGCGGGGCCTCCTGCAGGCTGGGGAGAGGTGGGCAGCACAGGGCAGGAGTGGAGCCCATCAGGCACGCAAGGGCGGGGCTCACTGGTTCTCGCTGGGCACAGTGGTGGGGCTGGGGCCCACGGCCAGCTGCAGCTTCTCCACCAGCCCGGCCCACTGGCGCTGCATGTCTTGCACCAGGGGCTCGAACCAGCCCTTGAGGCGGGCATGGAAGGCCTCGGCCTGCAGCCGCATCTGATTGGCCTGCTCCTCCACCTTGGCCCGCACCTCCTCCACCTGCTCCCGCACCTCCTCCAGTCGGTCCCGGGCACGGTTGCCCACCTCCTCCAGCCGGTTGCCCACCTCCTCCAGGCGCCCTCGCAGCTGCTGGGTGGCCAGGGTGCCCACGTTGTTGGCCCGCAAGCGGCCCTGCTCCACCAGCAGCCCCAGACGCTCGCGGAGGGGGCCGACGCCCCGCTCGGCACCCTCGCTAGCCCCGGAGCGGTACACCGCCAGGCGCTTCTGCAGGTCCTCGGCGTCGCGGAGCAGCCGCTTGCGCAGCTTGCGCAGGTGCGAGGCCAGGCGGCCCCGGAGCTCCTCGGTGCTCTGGCCCAGCATGGCCTGCACGTCGTTGCGGTATTGCACCAGGCGGCTGCGCACGTCCTCCATGTCGGTCTCCAGCCGGGACTGCGCCGCCTGCAGCTCCTTGGTCAGGCGCGCCTGCGTCTCCTGGGCCACAGGGCCCAGCTGCTCTTCCACCTCGGACATGTAGGCCTTCACTTCCCGCATGGTCTCCTCCCTCAGTTCCCTGGGGGCCGAGAGGGTGTGCACGGAGAGAGAGAAACGGGGAGAGGGTGAGACAGAGAGGAACTTGCCAGAGCTAAGGGGAGCTGGGAAAGAAAACCCAGTTGGTTCCGCGGGGCCTGACCTGGAAAAGAGTCGGCAAGAAGAGAAAGACCCACACCCCCAAGGGCGGAAACAGGGACAGAAAGAAGCCCAGACCGATGGGGACAGGGTCCAAAAGAAACTTCACCACGAGGGTCAGAGGCCAGGGCCCGACACTCACCCCAGTTCCTGGGTGACCCGAGAGTTGAGCAGGTCCTGCTGCACCTGGTCAGACAGTGTCTGCACCCAGCGCAGGTAATCCCAGAAGCGGCCCAGCGCCACCTCCCACGCCTGGCCGCCCTGCCACCTGCCCTGCTCGGGCTTCAGCGGCACCTCCTCGGGCGCTAACTCTGGCTCCACATCGGCCTGGCATCCTGCAAGGAACAAGTTTGCGGTGTGAGTATCCCCTGGTCCCTCTGGGCACAGGACCTGGGTCAGAGTGGTGCCTCCCTCCACAAGGCTCCCCAGGGAGGGTCAGAGCAGGGAGTGGGGGACCCCCCCAGTCTGTTGAATCATTTGAAAAACGTTTATTGAGTGTGTGTGTTGCAGGCAGGGCCAAGCTGGGGGGAAGGAGAGGTGATGGAGAATAAGAGATCACTGCTGACACCTGCAGATAACGCGTCAGATAACGTGTCAAACTCTGCTTCAAATAAACTTGAATCACACACACACACACACACACACACACAGAACTGTTATGACTCCCATGTTAAGGATGGGGAAACTGAGGCCCAGAGAGTAAAATAGCTGCTCAGTGACCGTCAGCGGCGGGGCCGACCCCCGCAGGGGAGGGGGCGCAGGAAACCGCAGCGAGGGCCCCCCCATACCTGCCAGGAGCGCGACCACCAGCACGGCCCACAGAACCTTCATCCTCCCGGCTCGCGGTGGCCCAGCCTGGAGAGGGCGAAAGTGTCAGTCAACAGCCCTGAGGCCGCCTCCTCCCAGAAGCCCGCCCCCCGCGGCCGGCCCTTCAAAGCCGCGCCGCAGAGCCGCACCACCCTAATCCCACCGCAAACATTTACCTAAAGGCTCCTGCGCTATTGTCTCGTCTCTCCCACCCCGGCCCGCCCCGGCGGCCAGAATGCCACCCCTCCCCCCGCCCCCGGGTTCAAATTCCACCCACCCGCTCGGGGTTCTCAGTGCACCCCAACTGGGCTTTTTTAAGTTCCAACCTCGCATGCCTCGGCCTCCCTTGGCGTTCTGAGCTGCGAATTCACATCTAACCTCCGCCTTCCACGTTTTAGCTGACTTAACCCGCATCGGAAAGTCCTTCGACCGAACCTTCCCTGCTGCGCCCCCCGCGCCTCCAGTTCCGAGGATCCGAGGAAGACGGGGCAGCTCAGTAGATGCTCAATAAACCAGCGACAACGGCTCGCGCTGGGCGCCTCTGGCTCTCCCCACAGGTGCAGCTGCTCCCCCATCCACCTTCTTCTAGTCCGGCCGAGACACCCCTATCGCCCAGCTCCACCCTAGGTCCAGCGCGACCCCCCGCCTCGGCCCCAGCCCCCCTGCTGCCCGGACCCACGCACAGGACAGCTACCACCTCTCTCCCCCCCCCCCGAGTCCGTCCCCCAAAGTTGCTGTTCTCAGTATCCCCGACCAGGCACAGGACAGCTACCACCTCTCTCCCCCACCAATCCGTCCCCCAAAGTTGTTGTTCTCAGTATCCCCGACGCTGCTTCTCACCGGCTCCTGGGAAGCACGTCCTTTGCCTCCGCTAGGGCTGAATAGGACTCAGGGATCCGGGACTCGTCCAATTATAGGGCTCCCCCTGCTCCGCCCACTCCTCCAGGGCTAACCGAGCTGGACCAGCCCCCAGTCACGAGGTGGGCTCTTCCCCACCCCCCTCACACACGCAGAGCGGGGTGGGGCTTGGGATCGGCAGCCGGGTGACCCTTCCCCCGTTTGTCCCCTCGAAGGGGGATGACATCTCACCCAGTAACTCAGGCACCCGTCTCCACTTTGGGGGGCTGGGCATAGCAGCTGCGGAGAGCTCCCTTTCCTGCCCCCCTTTTCCTGTGGATGAATACAATTCGAGGCAGGGGCTGGGGGCCCAGACTCTTGAGTCTGAGAAGGGGATGAGAGGCCCGGGACATTGTAATGTCTGCTGAAAGCCTAGGTTCTGAGAGGGAGACTTGGGTCTTACTCCCAGCTCTCAGCAGTTCCAGTTCCGTGTCATGGATCCCCCGAGACACCCACAAATTGTGCCTTCCACGGGGCTGCAGGTATTCATGCCACCGGGTTAGAGCTTCCGACGCTGGAGCCAAGCAGCTGCGGTCTGAATCTGGGTTCTGCTGGCTGCCAGCTGTGTGACCTTGGGCCAATGACCTAGCCTCTCTGACCACCCAGTTTCCTGGCCCACAAAATCGGGACGCGCTGCCCTTGCGCCACAGTTGGGTGATGCAGTAGGCTAGTGTGTGAAGAAAGCACAGAGGAACAGGCCTGGCACAGAAGGCCCGTGGTGTGAAGGTAGATCATCAGGCCTCCAGCGCTGTCACCTTCCTGGCAGCCCCCTGGGGGAACCCAGCTATTTCACAAACCAAAACCTCAGACACAAAGTGGATAGCGAAGCCATAGGGGGCGAATAGGAGCGGGGATTCCTTCCTGTGGGGTGGGCACGCTGGGTTCTACGGAGTCACAAGAGGCTGAACGCCTGGTCCTATGAAGGCGGTCCCGATGCCAGCCAGCACCCAGTCTGTTTGTACTGGCTTCAAAAGACACGGGCAGGGAGCAGGTGGGATGGCTTCTCTGGGTGACAGAGGTCACGCCTTCCCAGCAGCCTCCCTCCCCAGAACCTGTGCACATGGGGTGGGGGTGAAGGTACTGGGTTTCAATTCCTGATTTGAGGGGCTGGTGGAGCTCCTGTATGCCTCAACACTGAGTCAGCCCCTCCCCAGCCCAGCCTGTAGTTCTGCAGTACTGACTCTTGATTTTTCCAGGGCTTGAATCCTTCCTGAAGATCTTGAAAGTTCGGGCCTCCCCATCACAGGCCTAAAACGCCATCACTGCCTGTCCCTTTGGAATCTGAAACCACCGACTTCCCAGCTGGCTGCCCCCACCCTAGCACACAGAACATCATCCCTGTTGCTTCAGCTGGAGGGACAAAGTTCTTTGCAGTCACTCCGGCCAGGTCAGGTCAGGGCGGATGATCAAAAAGCCACGCCTCCTGGCTAGGGAAGGCCGGACTGTCCTCCCAGAGCAGGAGGGAGGCTGTGTGATCCTGGGCCTTCCCCGCTCCAAGCTAGCCCCCTGGCGGCTTGTGGCACCCTTCTGTGCCCCGACCCTGCAGCACCCCCTACTGGCAGCCATGGGCAGGCCAGGCGAGGCGGACCAAGTTGAAGGCGTTAAGTACAGGCAGGAAAATGGAGGGCTCCCATTTCACTTTTTTTTTTTTTCATTTATATTTTTTGTGTTTTTTGTTTTTCTGTAAAATGTCCCGGTTCTTCCATAACTTATAAACATGATTTATATCGAGGGGTGGGTGGGAAAGTGGGCGGGGTGGACTGACTGAGGATGGGGAAGCTCCTCTTCTTGCTGCCCCCTTGGGGCGGGGCTCAGGGCCCTTTGGGGGATGGGACGCCCCAACACCTCCCTGAGGTTGTCTGGCCACCTCTGCCCCTGGTGCTCAGCATCCCCCGTGCCCCTCAATTCCGGAATTCCTTCCGGGACCCCAGGTCCACTGGGCTTGCAGCCCCTGCTGCTCTGAATTCTGAAGTGCCCCACGGGGCCTCAGCTGCTGGGGTGACAGGTTCCCTCCTTTCCGCTGCCCCCCTGACCCCCAAGGAGGGAGGGAAGGGAGGGGAAGGGGGGCGCAGGTGTCCCCTCCGTGGCAGGGGAGGGGGAGGTGGGGTCTGCAGGAAGAAGGGTGAGGAAGGCGGGGCTGGAGGGGCTCAGCCGATGGTGAGGCCAAAGCCACACTGGAACTTGTTCTTTCGGTGATTCAGGAAGGCCCCGAGGGCCAGCGTCAGGGGCAGGGGCGGGAGCTTCTTCTCCAGGGTGGCACCCACGATCCAGTTACTGTCCACGGAGCCTGCGGGCCAACAGCTATGGTGAGACAAGTGCCGGCTCCCCGCCCTGTCCCTAGCGCATGCAGAGCACCTCCTGGAGCGCTTCCTGCACCCCAAGTGCGTCAGCCCCTATCGCACCTGGCGTGTCACTCCTGTTCCCTCTAAGACCTCAGCCCGATGACCACAGGGTTCCTCAGCCCCTCCCCGGGCTTCCCCGCTCCGGTCTTGCTCATGCCAGGTTGTCTCAGGTGGTGGGTACGTCCCCTGCCTGGTGGCCCCCGAGCGCTGTGTGCCCGGGGCCTGATCACTGCATTCGTGGCATAAAGCTGGACATGTGCATAGAGCTGTGCCCATGTCATGGAACAGGGTGCAACGCACTGAGGGGGAGCAGGGCACGGCGGAGCTGGAAGCCACACCCAGCTTCTGACAGGCTAATGACAGGGACAGGAGCCCGGAGGCGAGCGGCTGCAGAGGCACGTAAATCCCGGGGCTGCGTGACCACCTTTAGAAGCCTGCCCCTGAACCAGCCCTCTAAGGTCTGAGAGGACTAAAGGCTGGATGTCAGTACTAGCCAGTCAGACGCTTGCTAGGGGTTCTGGGTCTAGTGTGGTGATCCAACCTCTGGGAGACGCAGTTTCCAATAATAGGAGATGAGGGGGCTAGGCCGGAGAGGATCCAAGTTGCCCTCCACTTAGGAAAGGAGAAACAAGGCCTGTGGCAGCATGGGGAGGGCTGGCTGGGGTGTGGGGGAGGCAGCGAGGGGGCGCGGAGCTCTGGCCCACCCCTCGACACCTGTTCCAGGTCATCTGGAGCCTCACCAAAGCCCCACCACCCTGCTCTCTAGCATGTCCCCTGACTCACGCGCCCACTCAGAGCCGAGTCACCTCGGGCCTGTTTTCCAAGCAGGGAGACTTGAGGCCCGTACCTTTGAAGAGGAGGTTGGCCTTGGGCAGGTCCAGCTGGTAACCGAAGGAGACACTTGTGTCCTGCATCCTTGTGCTGGCCTCAAACTCCACGCCCACCTGCAGCTGGAGAGGCGGACACACACACACTTCAGCCCCCCAGTCTGGACTCGGGGTGCACAGCAGCCCCAGGCAGTGCACGCTTGGAAAGCGCGCCCTCTCAGCCGGGCCCAGGGCAGCTCACCTGGTCGCTGGCTTTGTGATAGTATGTCGCGTGCATGCCCGCCTGGCCCAACGTTACTGTTGCCAACCAGTTGTTCACTGAAAGAGTGGGTGGGGGGTGAGCAGGTTACCGAGAGAACAGGGGCATCTGGGAACCCAGGTCCCCCCCATCCCCCAGGCGGACCCCTCCCCTCGGGCCCCAGGCTCACATGTGTATTTCCCGGCTAGAGACATGACAGTGCCCTCCTCGCCCGGCCGCCGATGGTACACTAGCTCTCCGCCCAGGGCCAGACACGGCGTGATGCTCTGGAGGTAGTGGGCCACGAGGATTCCTGCGGGAGAGACGGCGCAGCATTACCTCACCCGCTGGCCGGCTTCCGCCCAGCCACATTCCTGCTCCAGGAGGCCTGCAGGCTCACCCTGCCCTCTGGTCTCCACACTGGCCCCTTGCTCTAGCGGCTCACAGGGCTCTGAGGTCAGCCCCCCGTGCGCCCAGGGACCTCAGCTGGTTCAAGCAACCCCACGGGGCTGAGGGAGTGTCCTTTACCCGCAGTCACTACATGTGCCGGGGGCAGACCCAGGCCTCTTCATCTTCAAAGCCTGGACACTGAACTACCCGCCTGCCACAAGGGTGCACCTTGGGGGGCCCAGACAGTCTGGGTACAAATCCCAGCTGCGCCCCACCACCTTAGGGCTCACAGGCCCCGCCCCACTCCTGCCAGCAGGCTACCAAATGACTTGCCGCCTGGTGCCCGAGCCTGGAGACGCAGTCCTATCTCTGGCGCCCTGGGTAGCAGACACCACAGACCCGAGCTTCCGAAAGGGAAGCACCAGAGAGGAAGAGAGAAACAAGACACCTACGACAGGGGAATAGAATCAGAAATGGGGGCCAGGGCCTCCTCGGGGGCGCAGCGGTTGAGCGCTGGGTTGCGAAGCTGCCCGCAGCCTCTGCAGCGCCGGTTCGATCCCCGGCTGCTCCCCGGCCACCGGAGGAGGGTCCCACATGGCGCGCAGACCTCTCCTGCCACCCGCTGCTCCCCTCAGCAGTGTACTTCGGTCCTTCTGCCTGCTCTGCTCCCCGCTCTGGCTCTGCTGAATTCGCTCACCCTCCCGCGCTTCTGACTGTACCCAGTGCTTGTATAAACAAAACAAACCAGCAAACAAATAAATAAAGCATGCCTCTATAAAAATAAATAAATAAATTCTGGGGAGGCCGGGTCAGGGTGGGCTGGAGCCGGCCACGACGGGCTCAGGTGAGCCACTGTGCGCATTTCCTGCCCCAGAGCAACGCAAACCCACCCCTGCACCTGAGAGCCAGGGCAGCTGGACCCACCTTTGAGGGGAAAGCTGAGGCCCAAGAAGGGAAAATGATCTGGAGTGACACTTCCACTCAGTCCATGGCCCAGGGCAGAGGGCCGGGACCCCTAGCTCCTGGGTCTGCTTGGACTCTGCTGCCCCAGACCTGGCCTCCACCCGTCTCCTGAGCACAGCCGTGAAGACCCGTAGGCTTCCAAATACAGCCACCCCCTCTTCTCGCCACACCGCCAGCCCTGGGCGCCCTCCCCCGCAGCCCTGCGTAGACACTGTTGTTTCTGCTGCTTCTGGCCGACCAGCTATGGGCCCACATAGGGGCCCAGCAGGTTGCTGGGCCTTTCCCCTATATGGACTTGGCTCGGCACCAGGGGCTGGCACGCCGCTCGGAGCTACTACTGCCACAGGGGCAGTGTGGTCACCCCGCCTGGCCCTGCTGTGTCCACCCTCGGAGAGGACAGAGCAGCAGCTCCCCAGAGTGAGAGCACATGTTCTTTCCTGTCGAAGTCTCTCACTCTGTCCTATGTGCTCCCCGACCTCAGCTCCCCTAGGGTATCCCCTGTGCCCAGATGCTTCTGAGTGCTGCCCAGCACACACGTCCTCGAAGGCCTTTTCCTCAAACACCTCATTCCTTCCAGAACCTCTATGGCCATCATCCTGCTGCCTCCTCCCCCATGGGCAATAGTTCCCGGGGCAGAGGCTTCATGGAGTCCAGTGCCTCTCAACTAGGGGCACTCAGCAGTGCAAGTGCCAGCCAGCCAGCGGTCTGTGAGGGTTCACAGGAGGCCTGGCCAGGGGCAGAGCCTGGCAGCCAGGATTCCCTTTACCCCACCCCACCTCCCAAACCTGCTGGGCAGATGCTGCGGCAGGGAGATCTGGGCGCTGGCTGTGGCCTTTCGCCTGCTCTGCTGGGGCCCACACAGGAAGGCGTGGGAGTGGCTGGGGAATGGCAGACACCCAGGGTAGATGCTCCGTGGGGGCAGAACTTGATGGGAAGGCGGGTCTTGGCTTCAGGGGTACAGTGTCTCGCCCTCCATGCTCCTAAGGCTCCAGGCCCTGGTCCAAGCTGTGCCCTCTTCCTGGAGCAGCCCTCCCCTTGCTCTGCCTGACAGGACACAGTCCTTCTAGAGATGCTGTCCCAGTCCCTCCAGGGGGTGGGGGTCAGGTGCCATCAGTCACATGTCGCTTATTAACGGGGACACCTTCTGAAAATGGCCGCTGGGTGAATGTCAGAAAGTAATCACACAAACCTAGATGGCAGAGCCCGCCCCGCAGCAAGGTCAGACACAGACCCCCCCACCCCGTGCGTGGTCTGCAGTTGAGCGAGACGTCACTGGGCAGCACGATGCATGGATAAGCCCTCAGGAGTGACGTGAAGCTCTCCTGACGGTCTTCTCAAAGCAGGAGCTAAGTGGCTGTGCGATCCTTCGTTCAAAGGTGGCCATGTCCCGAGCCCGCCCGGGGAGGCAGAAGGGGCTGTGGAGCTCTCACTCACGGCTCCCAGAAAGCGGCAGCGGCCACGAGCCAGGGCCGCACGGAGGGGACGGGCAGGAACTAGGGCTCGACGAGTCAGGCCGCCACGCAAGCTCCCGTTGCTCGGCTTCTGGGCAGTGTGGCCCGGCTGACTGAGTTCATCACTGTCCCCGCAGCCCCACTGTGAAATGGGGGCCACGGAAACACTGATACTGGGCCCCCTGGGGAAGGCAGGCAGATCCAACACAGAGCGAACCCTCAAGCTGCAAATGGTTGCCCTTTGGGTCAGACGGGATCATCCCACTGAATTGTCCACCAAGTGGTGGTCGCTGTAGTGGTGCCCCTGTGACAGATGAGGAAACTGAGGCTGAGTAGGTGGAGCCATGTACCTGAGGGTTGGTCGTGAGCTCAGCACCCCACCAGGCCCTGCAGGCGCTGTAGTTACTAGTGTCAAAGGGAGGAAGAGACACCTGTACAGACTAAGAGAACAGTGGCCTCGGGTTCCAAGGAGAGGGTCTGGGGGCCCTGCCAGAGCATCAGAGCGGTGCCTGGTGCCATCAAGAAGAGCCGGGGGCCTCCCCAGTGGCGCAGCGGTTGAGAACTGGGTTGCGAAGCTGCCCGCAGCCTCTGCCGCGCCAGTTCGATCCCCGGCTGCTCCCCGGCCACCGGAGGAGGGTCCCACATGGCGCGCAGACCTCTCCTGCTGCCCGCTGCTCCCCTCAGCAGTGTACTTCGGTCCTTCTGCCTGCTCTGCTCCCCGCTCTGGCTCTGGTGAATTCTCTCACCCTCTCGCGCTTCTGACTGTACCCAGTGCTTGTATGTATAAATCAATCAATCAATCAATCAATCTTAAAAAAAAAAAAAAAAAAAGAAGAAGAGCCGGGACTCCAGTCCAACTCCATGTGTGTCCTGGGGGAAGCATGTCCTGTCTTTGGGCCTCAGGAAGATGGGGCTCAATGGCAGAACGGACCCCACCTGGGTGTTGAGAGGACTCAAGGAGCTGTTTCCTCCCTACTCTGTCGGCGGTGCCTCAAGGGGCTAAATGAAGGAAAAGGCTGCAGACGTGCCGAGGGGCAAGAAATAACAAAACAGGAGCTGCTGTCACCACCATGCATTGGCTTGCTCAGTATTTTCCGAGCACCTCGTCTGTTCCTGACATGGTTCCAGGCACTGGGCACAACGTGGTAAGGAAGACAGGCAAGTTCCTGCCTTGAGAGCAAGATATTTCAGAGGGAAGTGCCACAGAGCAAACGAGAGCAGGGTCAGGGGATACAGAGCAAACGAGAGCACCCCTTTAGTCACACAGTCTTTGTGAAGTGACGTGTTCTGAGGCCCAGGCATTCAAGTTCCATCAAGAACGGAGAGAAGTGGGGCCTCCCTGGTGGTGCGAGGGATTAAAGCACAGCACTGTGAAGCTGTCCGCAGCCTCTGCAGCACAAGTTCAATCCCCGGCCAGGGAGCTACCCACATGGCGCAGCAGACCTCTCCTGTCCCCCCGCTGCTCCCCTCAGCAATGTGTTTCCATCAATCTGCCTGTTCTGCTCCCCGCACTGTCTCTGGTGAATCCTCTCACCTCTCGCATCTCTGGCCTGTGCCCCAGTTCGTGTATGCACAGATAAATAAATCTTTAAAAAATAAAAATAAATAAATCTTAAAAAAAAAAAATAAAAGAATGGAGAGACGCGGCCTATATACCCCAGTTCTGATGCATAAATGAATAAAAATAAATCTTAAACAAAACAGAGAAGAACTCCAAGCAGCAGGTGACAAGGTCCTGGGGTGGAAAGAACAAAGTGTCAGAAAAGCTCTTGTGGCCCAACTGCAGCGAGTGTGTGAGCAGACGCAGGCTGACAGAGGTGGTGGTGCTGACAGAGGCCATCAGGAGACAGGAAACATTCCTTCCTGCCCCCCAGTTCCCATGGGATGCAGCCTCACATAGGAGGTCCCTCATGTCCAGCTTCCCGGACTGCACTGGGTGATTACAACACGGCCCTTGCCTTTCCAGCTGCTCCCCTCTCTCCCCTGATCTCTTGCTCAACAAGCTCACAAGTAACACCCCGGCCTCTCGCCTTTGCGCACACATTCACTCAGTGCTCACTGCCCGGAGCCCGTCTCCGCAGAGAGCCAACAGCGGCACAGACAAGCAGGAATGAGAAACTGACCCTCCGAGTCACTCAAGCTCAAAGCAACAAAGACACCCTGATTCCTCCATCCAATCCATCCTCCACCCCACATCCAATCCATCTGCACACCCCACTGGCACCACCTCCAAAGCACACCCACCACCTCCTCAGCCCCTCTGGTGGAATCTCGCGGAGTCTGTTCTCCCCGTGTTGACAAGAGAGAGAGAGCCCTGTTAGAGACGAAGACAGATCCCTTCCCTCAGAAACCTCCAGTGCCCTCCCTCAGAGGAAAGGCTCAAGTTCCAGAAAGCCTTATGTGATCTGGCCTGTCGTTCCTCTGACTGCTATTACCCTCCCTCCTTCCCATCCACCGCAGCCAGGCTCCTCCTTGATGGTCCAATAAAGGGCTCCTACCGCAGGGCCTTTGCACTTGCTCTTCCCCGTGGCTGGAACGCCCTGTTCTGTACATATCCTTGGTTCCTTCTCTCCCATCCACTGTCACGCGTATCATGAGGCTTTCTCTGAGGGCTTCACCCACGCTCCCTGGCGGCCTCTCTCCTGGGGGCCAAGCATTTTCATACAGTCCCAGACCCCTTTTCCTGAGACACCCATCTTACTTGTCTGCTCCACTGGAAATGCACGCTCCCAAAGGGCCGACTGAACTCTTATTCACTGCTTTGTCCTCAGAGCCAAAAATATACCCAGGACACACAATAAATACTCACTACGGATGTAGAGAAATCCGTGAGAGACACCCAGAGACCAAACCAGGGGAACAGGAGGAAGAAGCTAGAAGCTCAGACAGAAGCCAGATGGCCCTTGCTCCCGGCCAACCCAAACTCAACAGTCTCCATCTCAGACGCCCCCACCCTCAACTGTGCCCCATCGCAAGCACAGAGGCCTGTAACAGGCTAAGGACGGCTCACGTTTCCTCAGGACCCGTTACAGGCCGTACCCGCTTGAAGCTTTTCACTCACGTGAACTTTTAAGACCCACTATACTGTCCCTAGAGAGGGCCCCATATTACAGAGGAGGACAGAGGGCCCTGGAGTGGGTGGAAGGCGCCCGCGACACAGGTGTGTTCACGGGATACAGTCTCTGCCGGGAGCCTGCTGTCCTGGGCACACTCCTGCCTCCACCGTCTCTCAGCTGGTGGAAAAGGAGGCTCGGAGCGGGGAACACTGTTGTTGGTACCACCGGGACTGGGTTCTGACTGCCCCCCTAAGCTCTGTGCCTCTTACCTGAACCCACCAGGACATCCGGGTTCCCCAGGGTGACGGCTGCTGTGAAGTCAGAACCTCGATACTCCCCGTCCACTTGCCAGTTCACAAACTTTGACTGCTGGGTCTGTAGGGGAGAAGGCAGGTGTGGGGGTAGTCAGGAGCTCAGCGTGCTTGGGGGAGCAGCTGACGCGAAGCCCACTTACCTGGATGGCCATCTTGGACCTGAGGCCTGGGCCCAGCTGGTGAATCACCTGAGCATTGAGGCTGCCACTATTGTCCATGTCACCCACCAGCACGGGGAACGCCTGTGGGCAGAGGGCAGATGTCTTAGCATTACGGAGGCACCAGGTTGGAGGCCAGAGGTCTGGAATTGTGGTGAGAAGCCTATGATCAGAAAGCCTCGGATGGAGGTTCCCTCTTTCTAAGAAGCACTCCTGACCTCCTAGCACCTGCTGGGCTCCCACGGCCTTTGGGATGCCCCATGTCAGCCCAGTCAGGATTATGATTTGCAGGGAACGCGTCTGTTTCCCCCCCACCCCAGCTAGACCATGACCACTGTGGGCCTGCTAGACTTAAATGGCATCGGCAACACCACACACGGCTACTTCAGTCTCTGCTGTGTCCCCTGTACTGCCCAGCCCAGGGCTGCACAGAATTGGGGTACAGTGAATGTTTGTTGAATACATTAACCTATTGAATGGAAACAGTTAATAGAAGCAGAGACCTAATTCAGTTCTGCAACTTCACCTGTGTCCTGCCCCCGCCTCATGTTTGTCCCCCTCCCCCTCTCGCCTCTGCACGGCAGCACAAGTATCAGAGATCATTCAAAAGCACAAATCTAAGTCTTTCCGGAGTTCAAATCTTTGTGTGACTCTCCAGTGCCCCCTAGAGAAAATCCAAATGTCTAGCGTGGCTTTCAAAGTCCTTCACGGTCTACAGGCCAAGCCTGTCTACTCTGGATTATCACTGTCTAGTGACAGGGCTGTCCCTGGCCTCATGGAGCTGGGCTGAGAGCATGGTTTCAGAATGAAGAAATGACAACTTCCCACACACCCTGGAGACACAGTCCCCGCCCCCCAATACCCTCAAGAAGCTCTGGCTGCCTCTTGACAAAGCCCTCTTTTCCTGATGTTTGGCTACATGTTTGTTAAGATAGAAGATACAATGAATAACAATAAAAGGAACCTCACCTCTGTGGGACTGAGCTGCTTTGTCCCCACATACGTCACCCCGAAGTGGTAATTGGACTCTCCAATTGTGCTGAGGGCTACTGTGTGGTTCACCTGGGAGAAGAGGGAGGGTTGTGGGGATGAGTGACTGCCCCCTTAGCGCCCCCTGCAATAAACCCAGCCAGAGGCACACCTCACTCCCAGCACAGCTCCCCTCCAGCCTGGGATGAGGGATACTTTCTAGTCTGGCTTCCCCAGGAGGGAAGAAGAGTCAGGGCCCCCTGGGCCAGGCCAGGCTGGAGACTGGAGGTGTGGCCAGATCAGGTACTTGGGGTGGGGCTACATACCTGGTACTTCATTCCTGCCCGGGTGTTATTTGTGGGTGGGATATCTCTGGACTTTGGATCCCTAAGCCTATCACTGGCCCCCACTGAGCAGTGAGCTTCGCTTTTCCAATATCAAGAAGCCCAGCCCTTTAAGAAGGACTAAGAGAGTTGTATGTGCAGATGCAGGATGGCTGGGATGACCTCCGGAGGATAAGGTCACCAGGGAGGCTCACCTGGAAGTGGTTACTCAACCCCTTGTTGACTGTGAGCTTGACACCTTCCATCTGAATGGGAAACAGTTCTGAAGAAAAGAAATGCTGTCACCTTCCACCCTACACACACACACCAACTCTCATTCCTTCCTTCCCAGTGCTCCCTTCTCCAGGGACCCACAAGCAGAACACTGAACAACATGCCCAAAGAGCAGAGCCAGGATCACCTTAGTGGAGGGGCCAGGACGTGCATCAGGAGCCTTGCCTGCGTCCACCTCTCAGCGCTAGCCCCTACCTACTACCTGTGAGCCTCCAGACAAGCCACTGTACGCCAAAGCTGTCATACGTAAGGTGAGGGCACCAGCACATGGAGACACTGCGAGGATCTGACGACCTCGTAGGTAATGAAGGCCAGAACAGTGCTCTGTAGGTCTCCATCGCTTTTGCTCGAGATTATCCCAAAGCAGGATGCAGAAACCTGAGGTTCCCCACCTCCGTTAGACCCCTGCTGACACCGTGACCTTGGGCCTCAGTTCCCTTCCCGAGCATATGGGGGAAGTTGGCTCGGGGGATCCCTGGGGCCCCCGAGGTGCCTGAGGCCGTCTTTCCTGCTAAGGCGTTCCAAGCCGAGGTTCCACCATCTGATCCCATCGTTCCGAGCCCCAAGTCCAGCGTTCCACCACCTGATCCCAACGTCAACTCCTAACGCTCCGTGACAAGATTCCCGCGGTCCGGCCAACTCCCAAGGTCCTCGGGCGCCGCCCCCGCCCCGAGCCCGGCCGTCACCCCGGGCCCTCGCCCTCACCCTTGCACTTCCGGTGGCACTCCTCGAACGTGCCCGGGTTGGGCAGGCAGCCGCAGGCCCCGTCGTTCGCGGTCCCTGCGGCGCTGGCGGCCGCCACCCCGGGGGTCCGTTCCGCGCCCCGACCCGCGCCGGCGCCCAGGCCGCCCCCGAGCGGCGGCAGCGTGAAGCCCGGGGGAGAGGGCGGAGGCGGCGGGAGTCCCACGAGGGCGGGCGCGGGCGGCGGCGGCGGCCCCGCGGGCGGCGAGCTGGCGGCCAACACGTTCCCCATCGTCGCCCGCAAGGGGAAAGGTCGGAGGGCGGAGGTCAGGGCCCGCGCGCTCCGGGTCTGGCACCAAGTCAACCCCGGCCCGGCTCCGGGCCCCGGCCCTCGCTGGCGGCAGCGCCTGCTCCCGGCCTGGGATCCGCTCCCACCCCGTGCGCCACGCGCAACCGAACCCGCTGCCGCCGCCGCCCCGCCCCGCTCAGCCCATTGGCTAGGCGTGCCCTGGGGTCCGCCCACCAGGCGCGGGGCCCCGCCTCGCCATTGGAGCCAGGGCTGGAAGTCCCACCTCCCACTTTGCATCGTATTTTACCATTGGCTCTCGCTCAGGGCCGAGCGAGCACGCCCCCCCGCCCTTCCCATTGGCCCGAGGTTTCCGCGCTGATTGGTTTGCGACGCCGCGGGTTCGGGCGCTCGCCCGCCATTGGCCGGAGGTGCGCACCTTGGGACGCCCCCTAACAGTTCGTCTCCGCCCCCTCCAGACGGAGCCCTTCTTTCGACTCCGCCCCGAGGCGAAGTTGCGTGATAACTGGTCCGCCTCGGCCAGGGCGGCATTCTGATTGGCTCCGGCAGCTCCGCGGGCCGACCCTGTGACGTCAGCAGCGCGGCGCGCTCATTGGCTACACGCCGGGGTCGAGGGACACGGGTCAAGGTGGGTTGCGCCGCAGAGGCTGCTAGGCAGCAAGGTCAGGCCTCGCGTCCCGCCAGGCTCCGCGGCAGAGGCGCAGCCCCCTAGTCCGGAGTCGCGGACGGGCAACCGGAAGTGCCGGCCCTTCCCACAGTGCCTCGGGAGAATTCTAACCGGTTACGTGAACCTTGTCCCGCTTCTCGTTACCCACAATGCCCCTTACCAGCTTAACGCTACAGTTGCCGTAGACCCACCCCTCTCGTTACCCAGCAACCCCCTGCGCACCCCGCCCTCCCCCACCCGCGGCGCGGTGGCTTCTATCTTTGGCCCATTCATTCCCGTCCCATTACCCAGCATGCCGCTCGCCCCATTCATTTCAGCGTCGTATTTTGGGCCCATTACTCATCATGCTTGCAGCTCCCGCTTCTCCATTATTCATCCCTCTCTGTCTCTGGCTCATTCATACAGATCTCGAACCCGTTATGTCCTGACCTGTCACATTTACATCTTTGCCTCTGGCCTATTCTTAGCATTTATCCATTAAACCCAAGATCCTTGTACTTAATTACTGCCGTTTCTATTTTCGTTCCGTTTATTTCTATCCACTACTCATTAGACGGTTGCACTGATTCCTTTCCACGAACCACCTTACCCCCCACTCGCGACCCTCCTTACATTTTTGCTCACTATCCCCTCACTAAAGGATTCATCTCACATCGTTGGCCCTTTTGTTTCCGTCGAACCCCTTTTGACTTCCAGTCGGAGTCCCCTCAAGCCCTGGCCCTGCCATGCGTTAACCCCCTCCCCTTCATATCCCACAGAACACACAAGTTGAGACCTGGTCAAAGTATAAACTCGTTATTTTGTAGGAAAGGCTATATTACAAAACAATAATCACACCCCCTACCCCCACCCAGGTGACCCACTTCCCCCCCAGGGAGATGTTTGGGTCCTATCCTACTGGACAGGAGTAAAAGGACTCAGTAGTCTTCAAAGTAACAGCAAATTCTTCTCCTGAGGCTGGACCATCAAGGCATACACAGCACGAAGCTCATCTGCCCCTGGGCTGGGCTTAATTCCCTATAGACAAGAACTAGGGTAGTGGGGGCTCAGTACCCCGAGACTCCTGCCCGCAGGAGGGAGCAGATGGGGAAGCTCTGCCTTGGGCTGAGGAATACCCTCCTTCCCACCTTCAGACAACAGGGTTGGGGGGGGGGGGCGAATGTTGCTCTGCTGCCTGGAGGGCTCAGGTCTGAGCAGCAGGGTGCCCCCAGCATCCATCCCACAGTTACTGAAGTTTACTCTCTAAGCACAAATCATAGGTTTGGGTCTTGAGATTTTGGAGGTGCTGAAATGGGGCGGGGGGAGGTCACAGTCTTAAGTCCTTGGTTCAGAGAGATGAGATAAAGTTACCAAATTTGCTAGTTTTTCCGGATCAGAGATCCTGGACTAGAGGTCATAGTGGAGCCACCAAGGTGGGGGGCACAGATGAGGTGCAGGTGTGTTAACTGACAGTGACCTGGCCAGAGGTCAGTGGGCACTACCATCCCTGGCAGAAAGTTGAGGGATTAAAAAGTGAGAGGCAGTGAGAGGGCAGAGCCGTGGCAGCTCACACATACATGGCCCGGGACATGACAAAGCCTTTGCCCTGGTAGGAATCAGAGGGACTGGAGTAGGACAGGGCGTCGTAGATAGGGTTGATCTTGTCCAGATAATCTTCCTCCTCTTCCTCCTCATCCTCCAGGTTGAGGGAAACCCCCTCCACAGCCGATGGCCCTGGAGGCACCAGGATGGGGGACCCCAGGCTTGTGGCCCCCAGGAGTAGGGGCCCCGATCTCTCTTCCAAGGTGGGCAGCTCATGATATCGAGGCATTTCCTAGGGGTGGGGTGGGAATAGGAGCTCAAGGTCACCTTCAGATCAAAGAGAAGCCCAGTCTGCCCCTGGATACCCGAACTCTGAACACTCACCCCTGCAACCAGACCTGACCTCACCTTCCCACTTAGCCTATCTCACTGGGACAATGATATGGCTCGTCCCTAACTCAAAGCCCAGAGCACGGACCTCATCCTGTCAACCCTTAGCCACCCCTCTGATTTTTGCTGCCTGGCTCCATCTTTCCCCATGAACCTTTGACTTCAGTCTTGACCTCAGCTACTTAACCTAAATAGCCTCTTGAACTTTTTTTTTTTTAAAAATATAAGAACTGGGGTACAGTCAGAGGCGTGAGAGGGTGAGAGGATTCACCAGAGACAGAGCAGGGAGCAGAACAGTCAGGCTGACTGAAATACACTGCTGAGGGAAGCAGCGGGCGAGACAGGAGAGGTCTGTCGCGCTATGTGGGTTTCTCCCTGGCCGGCTGGGAATCGAACCCGCGGTGCGGAGTCTGCGGACAGCTTCACAGCGCTGCGCTCAACCCGCCACGCCACCGGGGAGGCCAGCCTCTTGAACTCTGACTTATTTCAACCTCAACATCTGATCTCGGACCTCTACACACCACTGAAGGTGAGACCATCTGTCTTGTCCCTGCTCCAGGCAAGGTCTCAGGCAGAGGCAGGCGTCCAACCCATTTCGATTGACAGAGGGACTTTTGCTCTATCCTCATGGCCCTGGGCTTTTCCAGTCGTGACTTTCCCTACTGAAGCCTAATGACACGTTGATGCTCTAAGCTCTTGTCAAAGACGCAGCCCTGACCTGGAGTTGTGACCATTAGTCCTTGACGCTCATGTTAGGGGTTGACCCCTTTACCCTCAAACCCAGATCCATATCCACCCTTGTCCTCCCCCAGGTCCTACCTGCTCAGCACATGAGATGCCAGCATCAAAGTAGGGGGTCTTGAGTGGGCTGTGCTCTGAGGCTCCCAGAGTGAAGAGCTGGGAGGGCTGGGGTGGGAGGGGGACAAGTCAGGACCTTCCCCTTCCCCATCGCCAGCCTCTCCCTTCCTTCCCCCACCACCTCCCCTCCTCCCCGCCACCTCCCAGTTCTGGCCTGGTTGGGAAAAGCTGGGGTAGAGGTGGGGTAGCCTGGAGTACCCGGGAAGCGCTCACCATCTCTGGCTCCTCCAGCTTTGCCTTGGGGGTCGGGGGCTTGTACGACGGAGGTCCCTCCAGGCTGTGGGGTAGGAGTTCAATCAGGTGGAGGTTAATACTGAAGTCCTCCACCCCAGGCACCACCTCTGCCTGACCCCCCCTTTCTACCATGCCCAGCACTGTTCTCTGGCTACCCCCTACTTCCTTCCATGAATTTCTCTTCTAGGAAGCCTCCCTGGCCCTCTGGAGGGTCAAGGACTCCTGTTACGTGGAGCTTCCCTCTTGGGGTGCTTCCTGAGTTTCTATTTGTTCTTTCTGATCATCCGGTGACCTTACCCACCGTGTGCCACGTGAAGGGAAATGAGATGTGTCATCGATCCCATATTCCCAGAGCCCATTAGGATGGGTTCAGTCAATTTTTATTGAAAGAATGAAGGAGTAGGTGAATGAAGTTCTTTCCTGTGCCCCAATATGTTAAATTCCCTCATTCCATTCACCTACAGACAGAGCATCCTAAATACATAACAATGATGGGTGCTTACTATGCCTTCTGTCCTAAAGATGTCCCTTCCTCCAGGAAGCCTTCCCCTGACACTCTAGGCTTGCTCAGGTGCCCCCCTCACAGCTCCTTCAGCCTCCCTAGCACACCCCTGGCCATGCTTGCCTGTGAGTATCTGGGCATGGGTGTGTCTCCTCCAGATTGTGAGCCCCAGGAGGACAGGGCCAGGGCAATTTTGGGCACCACTGGGTCTCAGCATCAGTGAGGCACAGAAATGAGATCAGCGGCAAGCCGTTTTCACGGACTAGATCATTAAGACAAAGGTTCACAAACTTTCTTGTGCATCTGATTAACTCAGGTGACTCATTATAAATACAGACTTGTAACAGTTCTGATTCAGTGAATCTGGTGTGAAGTCCGGGAATAGGCATTTTCACAAATATGCATTTTTACGCAAGTCCCCCCACCTAGAGTGTACCTATACCAGGCAATGTGACTTCAGAGGTATTGCAGAACCTCCAAATGCTTAATGGCTGAATAAATTTCAGCAAGTGGTTTCAGCTCTCTGAACATTTTTCCTCTTGGTGGGTATCATTAGTTCCCTCTGCAATGTAGGACTCAGTGATAAAGTCCCATGTGTGTGGACACTTTTTAACTGTTTGTCTTACGATTGTGTTTCTAACCTCCAGGGCCTGACTCCAAGTGGGCACCTTCTCAATACGTCTTGAACCAATGACTAGATGAGAAGCTTCATATTGGTCACATATGTCAAATGCATCTTACCAAGTGTGGCACCTAAAAAGTGCTCTACCCAGAGAAGTGAGGCTAGTTTCCCTCAGTATCCAGTCTCCTCCTTTCTGCTGGTAATAAGTTTTTAGCTGGGCACAGCACAGGGCCACCCAGAATGAAGACTACATTTCCCAGCTTCCCCCGCAGCTGGGTTCTGGCTAATGGAAAGTGAGAGGAAGGGATGGGGTCCCTCTATGTCCTCTTCCCACTTGAGGCCAGGATCACGTCTGGTTGTCACGTACATAGACGAGAGAAGAGTGGGGAGCCATCTTAGAGTGTGAATTGAGGGCCACACTATAGGGAAGGGGGAGCAATAAGCTAACAGGAGCCTGGGCTACCTGCCATCTTCACAGAGCTGAACTGTCACACTCACACTTTACGGGAGACACAGATATGGGGATGGTCTTTCAGTGAAGTCATAGTTATTTGGGCAGGGGGGGTGTCTCTGTTTCATGCAGCCATCATGGCTAACTTTTCTCTCCTTCATCATCCCCGTGTCCCCCAATCGCTTCTCAGGGCCCATCACTCACTCATCCTCCTCCTCTGCTCCCTGCAGTGTCTGCTCCTTCTGTTGCTGCCGGCAGATGAGGATGCCTGTGGCAGCCACAGCGGTAGCAATGATGGCGGCGATGATGCCTCCAATGATGCCACCCGTGGCCCCTGCACCTGCCGTGTTGGGGGTGTCTGCAAGAAGAGGGACAGTTCGTGAGGGGGGGTCTCCAGCAGGATACCATGGTTTCTTATCCCCAGCTCCCCCACCCCCACCTGTGACCTCCGCCTCTTCCAAGGGCAGGGGACATTCATTCATTCAATTAACCCTTGCTGAGCACCTGCTGTGATCCTGGTAAATCAAAGGCACAAACATCTCATCGCAGGGAACCTGTGTTCCGGTTGGGCAGAGGCCCACAGCACAGAAACAAACACCACAGTGCACATGCAGGTGGCAGGTAAGTGATACAGGAGACAAGTGGGGGGCGGGGGGAGGTGGTAAGGAAGTGATGGGGCAGGAGCTCCACAGGCAGTCAGACTCTTAGCAGGAGGTGACATTTGACAAAGACCTCGAGGTGTCAGGGTGAGCCGGACCATCTGAGGGCGTTCCAAGGCAAAGACCCTTCCGGGGAAGGCTGAACCACCGGGAGACAGCGAACAAGGAGTGGGTGAGAGGAGAGCTGGAGGGTGGGGTGGGAAGAAATGGCAGAGGGCAGAGCTCAAGGCAGAAAACGGAGATGGGTGGAAGGGGACGGCAACCCCTCATTCACGACAGGAAGCGTCGTCCTGGTCAGATCACATGGAGCACATGGGAGCTCCTCCAGCCAAACAGGAAAAGGGGTCTGGAGAAGCTCAAGGCCCCCTGGGCCTCTCCTTTGTAGTGCTTCCCATTTCCTGCAGCTCTTTCTGGAGCAATTCCTGTTTACTTGCCAATTCTGCACTGTGAGTGTCCAGGACCAGCCATTAAGAGGGGCCCAGCATGGGCCCTCAGAGGCCTGCCGCGCCCAGGGACAGAACTCACCCCTGCCCTGCCGCACGGCCTCCCTTGGCGGGGTGGGGCCGGAGTGACAGACAATTAACCACCAGAGAAAATAACGCGTCACAAAAAAGCAGCCCCCTCCCTGCAGGTTTCATCAACCCAGCCAGGCAGATGACAGAGATGCCCGGTGGAGGGAGGTCTGCTCCCTGGGCTCTCCCCGGGCTGCGACGTCGTCCTGTTCCACAGCCGGTGTCCTCTGCAGGGCTTCAGGTGGGGGGCAGAACATTAGGGCCTCCGTCCACACACCAGCGTCCTAGATCGACTGTTCTGCTTGTCGGTGGTATTGACCCAAGCCTGGGAGGGCAGGCCTGGGTCTTCCTCAGTTGCGAGGCTCTGTCCCGGCTGTATCCTGGGCAAGAGTGAGTGGAAGTCCGTCCTGGTGGAGGGGATGAGCTGGCCAGATTCCTCCTGCCCTGGAGCAGACAGAGGCCACCTGCCTTTGACAGAGGTGGCCGCAAACCTGGCCACAGGGAGCAGAGGTGACTGGGATTAACCTGGACCCTGCCGCTCCCCCACCTCAGCCCCCAGCCTGGGTGCGGGAGATTTAGGTGAGGTGAGTGAGAGAGATGCAGAGCCACAGGCCCTCGCTCCCCTTGGGGCTGGGTCAGAGACAAAGGGAAGAGGAAGGAACCTGGGAAAAGCCACCGTGGGGTGTGGAGAGGTGACATTTTGCTGGTTTCTTAGTACCTTCTTCACCCAAGATCCTCCACAACCTGGGGGAGGTGGGGTATGAGCCCCTAGTGGATCAGATAGATTACAGCAGCTCCCCCCCAAGTCCAGAACCCCAGTACCCCCCCCACCTCCCTCGACTCCTCCCATCCTGGGAGTCTCATGCCTCCCACCAATCTGATCCCTCCACCCAGGAAGGCAGCCTCTGCCCTGGAACCCCCCAAATCCAAGTGCCCCAGTCCCTAAGCCAGGTTCTCCTGACCTGGGAGGGTGGGCAGAAGGAGCTGAGGTGCCCACCCTGTCCTTCAAGGGCCCCAGCCTCCCCATGTTGAGCCCCATTAGGATCTTACTCCCCAGGACTCGTTTCCATTTTTCCCACCCCCTGGGACCCAGCAGTCCCTGCCCCGCCCCCAAGGAGGGGTCCGATGTATTACAAGACACCCCCGATGTTTTCCTCCAAGGCATTTATTAACTCCTGAGTGTCACGGGGCTGGGGCAGGTGGGAGCCAAAAAACCAGTCTCTGGGGGGGGGGGGTGTCCTCTGTGGGCCCCATTACCCAGCGCCCCCGCGGCCTCCCTCCCCCGTGCGGCCCTGCAGACAGCAGTCCAGTGTGGGACTCCACCTCCCTCCGAGTCCGGGAAAGTGGGAGGTAGCGTTTGAGCTCCAGTATCATCCAGGCGAACCAGTCCAACCAGTCTGGAAGCCGGGGCTGGCGGGCGGCCGTCTGTGTCAGTCTGTCTGAGTGTCTGAGTGTCTGTCACACGTACACCGCCCTCCGTGAGATGAGGGAGCCGTCCAGCTGGGACTCCATGTCGTCCTCTAGCGCCGGGGGCGGGGGCAGCATGAGGCCCACCTCTGCCTTCTCCTCGTCCTCGTCCTCGTCCTCGTCCTCCTTGCCCTCCGGCCTCAGCGGGACGGGGGCCGCGGGCGTCCAGAAGACCGGGCCCCCGTTCCCAAACACCTGAGTTTTCGGATCGTAGGATCCTCTGTCGTCGACGTCACCTCCTCCTCCTCCGGGGCTCTTCCTCCGCCTCCTCATCCTCAGCAGGATGAAGGCCACGGACCCCCCAGCCAGAAGCAGCAGCACGAGCAGAGTCCCCCCCACAGCCCCCCACACCATTGGACCCACGTCTCGGGGCAAGGCCCGGGGGGTGTCTGAGGAGAGAGGAGGGTGAGAGAGAGAAAGGGAGACAGAGGTCAAGAGGATACGTCTGGGGGCAACAGGGGGGGCATGACAGGGAGTGAGGGAGGTGACTCTGGGCAGAAGGAGGGGAGAGAGCCGTTTCACTCTCAGCTACAGGAGGGGTGGGGTGGGGTGACCACCGGGGGGCCTCAGGTGGTTTCCTTGCACCCGCACAGGGTGTTTCAGAAATTGAAACTTGCTAGCCAACATTTCAAAAACCCGCTTTCACCAAAAGTCTAGATCTTTTTGAGGGGAGAAACACGTCAGATCTGGCAATGCCCAGTTTTCACCTCCTCCACCTGGGACACGCTGAGGGGCTCTCACTTAAGTTCTGAGGTCAAGCTCCTCAGATCTCGAGGGGGCTCCTGCCAGGATAGGGTACAACTGGATTTGAGCTCAAAGCTGATGCTAAAGCTCTTTGTACTTGAGAGAAGGGGGCCGGAGAAGAGCTGGGGTAGTGTGATAACCGCCCCCCAGAAGCTGGGAGCATTGGGGAGGACCATATATGGGGATGGAACCCATGAAGCCCACTGCCCTGACTTCCTCTAGTGCTCCCTGAAGTGGCCAGGCAGCTGGGAGGGGAGGGGCCCAGGGGAGGTGCGAAACGAAGCCAGGGAGCACTGAGGAGGGAGGCGGGGGGGGGGCGGGGACAGGGACCAGGAAGGGACCCACATCAGTGACAGACAGACAGGGACACTGATGCGCCGCACCACACACCCCTCCCCGCACCCCGTACGCAAGAGGGGCCAGGACCCGGGCGGGCTTCTGGGGGTCACAACCTAGCAAGTTAGCAAATCAGTTTAAGTGACTTGTAAGGAGCAGTGGAAAACAAAAATAGAACAGAAAACCTTTATCTCAAGTATGAAGGATGAGTACTATTTTGAGGAACTTCTGGGGGGGACACATGTCTACTACACCCTGGGAGTGTGCCTCGGAAACACCTGGAACCAGCTTTAGCGCGTGTTGGTACATTAGTTGGTTTCTGGGGTGGTCTTTTGGAGGACAGCATGTTCTCTGTCTGTGGGTCAAAAGTTCTCCCAAATCTCCCCCGTGATGCCTGGACCCCACCTGTGTGCCCGTCTATGTTTGCAGTGGCGTGGACCCCAAATCACGTGTCTGGGACCACATGTCTGAGACCTTCTGGCCACCAAGAGCCATGAGGGAGCGCACTCTCTAGGCCAGGCTCTGGGTGGGCACACTCCTTTCCTAACAGGATTTCTAGGGTGCTCAGTGTGCCCCCGTTTCTGTTGGCATCCTCTTTAGCCATGTGTCACGGCTAGGATATTTTGGACCATATGCGGGTCTGTGGCTACTTTGTGGGGGGGTGGGGGTGTCTTTCCATAGAGCTGAGTCTTTCTCTGAGGTGTGAGTCCGTGTCTACCCCAGGTTCCCGATGGGGCTCTGAGGATGTGTGTGCCACTAGGTGCAGACTGCCCGAGGGCTGAAGTCTGAAGCCAGTGCGTTCTCTTCAGGGGAGTATGTTTCTGGCAGTGGACATCCCTGAGGTTTCTGTGTATTTGAGGGGTGGCGGGTGCCCTGTTTTGGTGATGGTGTTTTCCTCCAATGGCCCTTCAGTGGGACTGTCTCCATTCTGCAGGCTCCACGCCTCGGGGGTGCCTACTGTGTATGCATGGGTGGGGAGACCAGTTTCTCAGGTGTGTTTCTGGGGTAGAAGTTTAGGGGTGTATTTCCAGTTGGGCTTCTCACTGGCTGGGTGGGGCTGACCCTCCCGGGGTGTGCCATCAAGGGCAGGGACTGTGTCTCCCTTACCATTGTCTTTCCAAAATCAAGGCAAATGGCTGGCCATGTGCAAACCTCAACAAATATTTGTTAGAAGAGGCCAGGCTGTTGAGAGAATCTCTATAGTGGGTCCCTGGAGTTTCTGAGCTCCAGCAGCTCTGAGGGAGTTGCTGAATTTCTTGTTCAGTGTCTGTAACAGTGTTTCCAATCCGTGTATGTGTGTGTGTGTGTGTGTGGTGTGTGTGTGTGTGTGTGTGTGTGTGTGTGTGTGTGTGAGCACGTCAGACGTGCTGAGGGGCCAACTGTCCCTCTGAACAGGTTGCTTCTCACTGTGTTTGGAGTTAAGCGTGTCCTACCTGGAGTCTGAAGTCCTGAAATGGGGGGGTCGGGGTGGGCAAGAGGGAGAGAGAGAGAGAGAGAGAGAAGGGGGAGTGGAGAGGGAGAGAGAGAGAGAACGTGTATGTGTGTTAAGATTAGGTCTCGGGAAGGGGGCATATTTCTAGGTGTGAGTGTCTGTCTGTCTTCAGGCCTGTGTCTGTGTGTCTGTCTATTTCTCCTTCCAACCACTGAACCCGCACACAGGGGCTCAGGTGTCTGCACAGGCAACGCTGCATGGCTTGTGGGAGTGCTGGGAGGGTGTTCTGAAGACGTCTCTTTGCCGCGTGGAGTCTCCGGGGCTCTGGCCAGCTGTCACATGACTTTAATCTGGGTCTTGGAGGGTGCTCCTGTGCTTGGGGGTGTGTCTTGGTGGCAGTGGACTTGAGGGCTTGGTGTGTCTGTTTTGATTTCCATGCGTCTGTGTGGGCCCTGCAACCATGGCTCTGACAGGAAGTGGACTCTGTTCCCAGCCCGGGTCCGGGTGTCTCTGGGTGTGTAGCGAGTCCCAATAACCCTCGAAGGTGTGTGGGTCAAGCTGTGATTTGACCCACGGGCCTAGTTTGGCGTTGTCCTTTTTTCTTTCCAGCTGCATATCTTGGGGCCTGCCCATGTTTCTGAGTTCTCACTGGGGAGGCTCTGAGAACTTTCACTTCAGACACAGCGGACCGAACCCAGAGAAGCAAACTTCCCAACCTGCGCTAAGACTGGTTTCCAGGCCAGCACTCACGGTAGGAAATCCCGGTTTCTGTTCTTTTCAGGTCTCTGTGTGATTCTGTGAGTGGGGCCTGCTGACCAGAGCCAGGCAGTATCCTGGGTTTCTTCCTGAAGCCCATTCCGAGGGCTCTACTTTCTAGGAATCCCCAGCACGGGCCTCCACCTCCTAACTCCTCTGCCATCACCTACCCTGTCAACCCCAATCTGGACCCTATCCTGGGAGCAAGAGAGCAAAGCCACCAGGCCTTCCTCTCCCAACAGTGAGGCGGGTCTGAACCCCTCCCCAGGCTGGCAGCACAGCATCCCTGGAGGAAGCTCCAAAACCAGAGGGGCGGAACAAGTGGGGTGCAGCCCCAAGCTTCGCAAGTCATCCCTAAAGCCCACTACTCACCTCGAACAAGGACAACCTGCTCAGCGTGGCCTGAACCCATGGCATTGGTGACTGTGCAGATGAAGGTGGTGTTGACCAGCTTGTCCACCGAGTGGATGACCAGCTGGGGGCCGCGGGCTACAGCTGAGGCTGGGAAGACGCCTGAAGTCCTGGAGGGTGTGGGGATCACATGAGGGGGACGATAGGGTCATAGACTCTGTCCCTGATGACATAGCCCTCAGGAGTCAAATTCCATATACCTAAAAATACTGTTTGAGACCCCAAACCACCAGCTTCCTCTTTCCAAAGGACTTACAGTGTCCAACCCCTGGTGTTCCTCCCTCAGACCCAGGAGTCCACACCCAGCCCCTCCTCCCTCGGACCCAGGAGTCCACACCTAGCCCCTCCTCCCTCACACCCTGGAGTCCACACCCAGCCCCTCCTCCCTCAGATCCAGGAGCCCAGGTCCCCAACCCCTTCTCCCTCAGACCCAGGAGTCCACACCCAGCCCCTCCCCACTCAGACCCAGGAGTTCATCCCCCAAATCCTTCCTCCCTCAGACCTGGGAGTCTTGGCCCCAGCCCCTCCTCCCTCAGACCCAGGAGTTCAGCCCCCTGGGGTGAACTGTAAGGACTCACGTGCTCCAGTCAAAGCCCGTGGGCTCAGGGTTGCTGCGGACCTCACAGTTCAGTGTGGCCTCATTTCGGCCAAGGTACCAGTTGTCATCATAGCCAGAGATGGAGACCTCAGGGGGGTCTGGGGGAAAGAGAAAGACTGGATCAGTGATGGAGACACCCTAGAGAGGTGACAGGTGAGTGGGTAGATGGGAATCCTAAAGGAATGATTGGCCGGGGTCAGGCCAGTGGAACCGGTCTGGGGTTGATTCCTCCAGATGTGTCTGCCAAGACCAGTGTAGACACTGTCCATGATGCCACTGAGGATTTTGAGGAAGTTACTGTTCAGTGCTGGCTGTGTGAGGAAGCCTCTGCAGAGAATGTGTTATTTCCAACATGACTGTATAGACAAGGGAATGGGTACACTGACGACATGGCATGGGAAGCGAGTGTGGACAACGCTGAGCTGGGGTGTGGAGAACGTATGAACAGTGATGGAAGTGCTGAAGTGACTGTGGTTAGGGTTCATGGGAAGACTGCGGCGGGGAGCCTCTGTAGGTGCCATCAGGGGTGTCAATCTTGCAGTCTCCGGGAGAGCTAGCATAGAACATACTGGGTAGGTCAGTATTGACAAGGCCCAGAAAAGCCAGTGTAAATCATGGGAGGCGGAGGCTGGTGTAGACTCCAGGAGAGCCAGTGTAGACCCTGCCCAGGGAGGCACGGTGGATAGTGGGAATGGGTGTGTGGAGGGCAACAATGTTGGGTTGGGCCTTGTAAGCCACAGTCTAGTAAGGCGCAGTGTCAGCTGGGGTCGATGGGAGCCAGAAAAGAGTGCTGGGGCGGGGGGCAGCTGTGTGCTGGTAAACCAACTCTCTGAGAAGGAAAAAGGAAGGAACAGAAGAATAGCCCTGATTCTGTCCTTGGAACAGTGCTCCCCGCGGTTGATTTCAAGCTATCAGGACTTCACTGGAGCAGAACTGGAAAGAAAGGTATGAAATTGGCCCTCACAGACCCCTTCTGAGTCGCCCCGGTTGGGGCAGCATGAAGAGAGCTAGGGGAGCTAGCTAGGGTTGGGACAGTGCTGGTGGGGTGCGGCCGGCCGGGTCCTGATGCACTCACAGCGCACCGAGAGGGTGACGGGCAGCAGGGCCGGCTCCTTCAAGCTCTCGTGTTCCACTTTGCAGGTGACCTTGACACCATCTGCTCGGCCCAGGGGCACCAAGGTGAAGCGGCTGGTGACAGTGACCGTGCCAGGCAGGGGCCCCTGCTCCTGGCTCTCTCTAGCCTCGCCATCCAGGGGCGATAACCAGGAGATTCGTGCAGGTGGGCGGCCCCCTTTGGAGACACAACGGGCCACGGGCACAGGCTCCAGGCTGAGGGTGACCTCCTGTTTTTCAGCGTGGTTCTGGGGCTCGGCTGGGGAGAGAAATAGAGGGAATGAAGCACTCCTTCCCTATAGTCACTCAACAAACAGCAGCAGAGCAGAGTGGTTAAGCCCCAACTGCCTGGGTTCAAATCCCACGACTGTTGCTTGGCTGCTGCATGGCTGTGGACACAAATCTGTACGTCGGTTTCCTTTGTAATGTGGAGGGCGTAAAAGTTCCTACCCCATGGCATCATTGCGCGGATTAAGTAAGTTGACTTAGCAAGAACTTTGGACAATGGCTGGCATGCCATATGCTGTCTCAGTGTTAGCTATTACATTGTCAGTTCTACTCTGCGCAGAAGAGCAGAGACAGGGCTAAGAGCCCGGGAGAGATTGGGATTTAGAGAGAAAAGGCAGGGAAGGAGAATGTGGTTCAAGGTCCAGCTGCGATGGCCGCGTACTTCTTTCCTGTAATCACCCTCAGATCATGGAGCCGGAAGTGGGATAAAGACCACAGAGCTCCCCAATGCTGTCATTGGTGGCCCTTTTCACCCATTCTCCTGAAGACATGGTAAGATATTAGGGAGAGGGGGGAATCCCTCCATGGGCAGTGACAACCCAGAGTTACTGGAATATGTCCATTAGCAAACTGTCCCCCACGTTTGGACCGTCAGCTCTAGCTGCCTTCTAGAGGTCTCCCTTTGGGCTATCTCTGGAGCTTCTCCATGTGGCACACACCTGGTCTCCCTCCTCCTCCTCTCCTCTCCCTGCCTCCTCTGCTGTCATCGTCCCTCTGTCTGCTCCAGGTACCCGCACCCCACAGCCCCCACTCCCACACACGCTAGGGTCTGGAGGATTTTGTGTCTGGGATGCTCTGACCTCCCACCTCTTTCTCCACCTCTCAGTCCCACTTCCTCAAGGGAACTCGCTGAGCCCGACTCCCGTGAGGAACACTGGCTTCACTTGCCCTTCCAGGAAAGCAGAGTCCAGGAGGGCCTGGGGCACAGCGGTGCTCGCTGCAGAGCTCTTCAACAGAACAAATGATTGCACGGGAAGAGCCTCTTGTGAGGGGCAGCAGGGGCAGGAAGGGTGTGCTTTAAATTGTGGAAAACAACGGTGGTTTCAGGGTCCATTGGGAAAAGGAAGTATCGATATTTACCCAGGGGTGGGGCAGGGAAAACTTCTCAGACTTTCTGGGGCGGGGAGGGAGAAAATAGTGTCCAGAGTGACGTGCCTTCTGGAACTTGACCAGGGGTGTGATCCCCAGGGAATCCCAAGATCTAGTAAGAAATAGTACCTTTCGGTGGCCATGAGGGTCTTCCTCCTGCTGGAGCGAGAAGCCTGGAGTCCTTCCTGATCCCCTCCTCCCTCAATGCGGGAACAAGTGTCTGCTGTCTCTGCGCTGCGCACCTCTCTCTGCCCCACAGCTTCCTACCTCTCGTAAGTCAGTGCTTTCCCTCCCGTGGTCTCCCGATTCCACCTTTGTCCACCCCTCCAAAGGCCCCGCACACAGCAGCCAGTCATCTTTTCAGGATTTCAGCAACCTGGCGAAGGTGCTCTGGGGCCTGTGGAATCCTCCACTGGCTCCCGCTGGCGCTCAGGATAAAACACAGCCACCTTCACAGGCCCGAGACCACGCCCTCCAGCCCTGCTGGTTTTCCCCTCCTTGGCCAGCACCCAAGTCCTTGCCACCAGCCTCACAACCTTCCTCTCTGTTCTGGGCACAGGCCAGGCCTACCTGATGTCCCTGCTACTGCATATGCTATTCCCTCTGCTCTCCCAGACATTCCTCTGCTCCTGGTCATGGTGGCTCCTGCTCCCGCTTCAGGACTTGACTAAGAGTTGCCCAAACTCTTCTCAGACACGCCACCGGGTCCTTTACCCTGAGTGATTACGACATCCCATGTTGTCTTTCTTTGCTAATATAATTATTCTCGAGTTAATGATTTCCAGATAGTTAGCCCCACAGCCTCTACTTGGTCAAGTGACCGTCCCAGGGAGAAGACTGAAAAGTTAAGTAGCTCACACCCGTCCCCTGCTCAGAACTCGTCACTCTTGCTCTCTCAAGGCAGAAATCAAAGTCATCATGTGGTCCACAAGGTTCCCTAGCCTGCAGAACAGTGTCTGGCACATAGTAGGTGCTTCATGGATATTTGCCAGTTGGCGGAAGGCCACGGAGAAAGTCGACCTTCAGCCGGGGTGGAGAAGGACAGACCCCAGGGAGGGGGGCTTCTGCCGACCCCCCAACCCCCGCCCCGGCCGCTGCTCCAGGCCCACGCCACTCACCTATGGCTCTGAGCCAGGTCATCCCACGACTGGTGCCCTGGGGGAAGGTGACAAACTCGCAGGTATAGTTGCCCTCGTCTTCCACAGTCAGCCCCCGGAGGGCCAGCGTGGCATCCCGCAGTACCATCTCCGAGCCTTGCCCAGCCCCAGAGCTCTGGCCGGCGGTGACGAAGGACAGCCGCTCTTTGCCAGGCTTCTGGCTGGGGAAGCTGGGTCCATAGTGAGGGTTGAAAATGGCCACGTTCTGGTTGCTCTCGCCCACGTCCTGGCGTAGCCACATCACCTGCGAGACTCGTACTTCAGGAGCTGGGGGCAGCAGATGGCAGGGAAGCTCCACGGTGCTCCCCAGGTGGCCCCGAACCTCTGGCGGCACGAGAACGCCCACATCCTGGGCACCTGGTGAGAGAGGAAAGAGCTGGTCAGGTGGGGAAGGAACCCCGCACCTTCAGGCCAGTCAGGGCCGCTATTTGGGGCACCCGGGATGTAGGAGCCTTCCTGAGTCCGATTCCCCAAAGGCCCGCCAGGAACACGAGGCACGGGTCAGTCTGGATAAGACTACACATCATTCTGGAATCGCTGTTTCTGTCCTCTGGTGAGCGTGAACACTGTGGTCATGTATTCCTGTTCCAGGCAGATGCCCTCGCTGAAATGGTATGTCTGCAACATACCCGCCCACGGACGGGTAAACAAACGAAAGGTAAGTAGGGGCCTCCCTGGTGGCGCAAGGGGTTAAGTCTCAGTGCTGTCACTGCTGAGGCCTGAGTTCGATCCCCGGCCAGGGAGCTGACCCACATGGCGCAGCAGACCTCTCCTGTCCCCCCGCTGCTCCCCTCAGCAGTGTATTTCAGTAGATCTGCCTGTTCTGCTCCCCACTCTGTCTCTGGTGAATCCTCTCCCCACCCTACACACCTCTGGCCTGTACCCCAACTCTTCTACACATAAATAAATAATCCTTAAAAAAATAAATTAAAAAAGGAAGTAAGAGTGACTGGGTGGGCAGGAGTGAGGGTTAGATAAGAGGGCGCCTCCCGGGCATTATTCCTCCTTACCCCTGTCTGACTTTTTTCATCATAAAAGGTTTGGATGAAAAAAGAATCCTCTGGAAAGAAATCAATTTAAAAAACTGCAAAATAAGTTAAAAAAAAAAAAAGTAAAATGTGAGGGTTGTCTTTATTTTTCCTACCAGAGATATACTTTCTGTAAAATCTACAGCCCTCAAGTCTCTCTTTTTTTAATTTTATTATTTTAAAAAATATTTATTTTTTAAGATTTATTTTTATTTATGCATATAAGAACTGGGGTGTAGACCAGAGATGTGGGGAGAGGATTCATCAGAGACAGAGTGGGGAGAACGGGAGGATCTACTGAAATCCACTGCTGAGGGGCGCAGGGGGGAGACAGGAGAGGTCTGTTGCGCCATGTGGGTTAGCAGCCTGGCCAGGAATCAAACTCTGGTCGCACAGTGGCTGTGCTGAGACTTAAACCTTGCGCCACCAGGGAGGCCCTTAGTTTTTTTTTTTTTTTTAATAGAGGCATGTTTTTATTTATTTATTATATTTGTTTGTTTGTTTTGTTTATACATGCACTGGGTACAGTCAGAAGCGCGGGAGGGTGAGAGAATTCACCAGAGCCAGAGCGGGGAGCAGAGCAGGCAGAAGGACCGAAGTACACTGCTGAGGGGAGCAGCGGGCGGCAGGAGAGGTCTGCGCGCCATGTGGGACCCTCCTCCGGTGGCCGGGGAGCAGCCGGGGATCGAACCGGCGCCGCAGAGGCCGCGGGCAGCTTCGCAACCCAGCGCTCAACCGCTGCGCCACCGGGGAGGCCCCCTTAGTTTCTTTTTTAAAAAAACAGCTGTATTAATTGGGGCCTCCCTGGTGGTGCAGGGGTTAAAGACAGCGCTATCAAACTATAGCAGGTTCGATCCCATCCCAGGCAGGCCGGGAAGCTGACCCTCATGGCGCAGCAGACCTCTCCTGTCTCGTCCACTGCTCCTCTCAGCAGTGAATTTCAATAGATCTGCCAGTTCTGCTCCCCACTGTCTCTAGTGAATCCTCTCACGGTGCCCCTACCTCTGGCCTGAACCCCAGCTATTGCATGCATAAATAAATCTTTAAAAAAATAAGTAAACCAGCTTTATTAAAATGTAATTCCCATTCACGTATTCAAAAGCCTGTCATTCGATGAATTTTAGTGTATCCACAAGGATTGCTTGTCATTCACAAGACTGTAGCAGCAATGCTGTAATCAATTTCAAGGTATTTTCATAATCCCCCCCAAGAAATCCCTGAACCCATTAAATAGTCATGGCCATCCCACTCCTCCCTACAATCGCTAATCTACTGTCTGTCTCTACACTTGCCTCTTCTGGACATTTTACAGAAATGGAGTCACGCAGTATCTTCACACTACAGGATGCCGTTCAGCCATAAAGAAAGATGAAATGTTCTCTACAACGGCCCCCACTAAGAGAAAAGATTTTTCAAAAAATAAGTTAAAAACGGGGCCTCCCTGGTGGCGCAAGGTGTTAAGCACCGCACTATGAAGCTATGCGCAGCCACTGCAGCACAAGTTCGATTCCCGGCCAGGAAGCTGACCCACATGGTGCACAGCAGACCTCTCCTGACTCGCCCGCTGCTCCCCTCAGCGGTGAATTTCAGTCTGCCTGTTCTGCTCCCCACTGTGTCTCTGGTGAATCCTCTCACCTCCCGTACCTCTGGCCTGCACCCTGGCTCTCGTATGCATAAATAAATAAATCTTAAAAAAAAAAAAAAAAGCTAAAAAGAAAGAAACAAATTAAAAAAGCAAAAAGATTCAGGGCAGCCAATTTTCAACAAAATGGGAGGAGTCAGAGAGAATTATGTGCAGTAAAGCAAGTCAGAGTGATAAAAACACATATTGGGCATTTACACAGCAGATTTGCTAGAAGTAGCGGACACTACAAAATACTGTGAGCTCTGAGGTTAAGAGGGAGGCGAGGACAAGGGGATTAAAAAATGAAATACAGTAAAATGCAAAATATTACAGTAGACTGCATTGAAACTAAACTGTATGCAAAAAGGCAAGGAAACAGAACAATAGAGTGTAAACTTGAGACCAGTGAAAAGTTACTGTTGATTGGAAGATTTTCTTTCTTTCGTAATAAAATAATAAAATATTATTTTCATAATAAAATGATAAGTGTTAAAAGAACAATAAATGGAATCATATACTCTGTCACTTTCTGCGACTTCATTTGTTCAGCATCACACTTTCCAAGGAGCCTAGACTGTGATTTCAGTCCTTTTTATGGCTGAGTAACACTCCACACAATTTTATCTATTCGTCAGTTGATGGACATTTGGGCTGTTTCCACTCTTTGGCGATTATGAATCAAGCTGCTGGGAACATTTACGTCCAAGGTTTTGAGTGGAGGTGTGTTTTCTTTTCTTTTCTTTTCTTTTTAAAGATTTGTTTATACAAGAAACGGGGTATAGGCCAGATGTGTGGGAGTGTGAGAAGATTCACCAGAGACAGAGTGGGGAGCAGAACAGGCAGACTGACTGAAGTACACTGCTGAGGGGAGCAGCGGGCGACACAGGAGAGGTCTGCTGCGCCATGTAGGTTGCTCCCTGGCTGGCTGGGGATTGAACTCGTGCTGCAGAGGCTGCGGAGTGCCAGTGCTTAACCCCTTGCACCACCAGGGAGGCCCTGGAGGTGTGTTTTCAGTTCTCAGCTTACTTTTTGGTCTCAGACCACAAAGCGGCTAACCTGCTCTGCTGGGCACTGCAACATGGGCTGAGGGCCCAGACTTCCTGGGTATGAACCCTGACTCTACTACTAACTGGTTCTATGACTTTGAGCAGGTCCTTTAACTCCTATGCCTCACTTTCCTCAGCCCTGAAACCAGAGTAATAATAACGCCCACCTTGTGGGGGCGGTGAGACGATTAAAGAATACTTGCAGAGCACTGAGCACCAGGCACAGGAAACACCAGATCAGTGCTTGATAAACAAACACAGTTGGGTACTATAATTACAAGTGGCTCTTGACACTCTGCAGCGAGGCAAAGCCAAGGGCACACGCCCACCTCAAGGGGCAACTGTAGCCCAGTTGTCGCTGACCTAGGTGGGTGCAGGGAGCATGTGCAGCGGCTAACCTCGCCCAGGGGACATTAACTGGTGACCCTAAAGTGGGAGCTCCCCAGCCGAAGACAGCCCCTTGGGTGGGACCCATCCCAGGCAATGAAGGCAGTTTTGTTGTCATCTTAAGGAATCCCCTCATGGCTCACAACAAACCCAAAGATGTCACCTCAGGAGAGATGGGGCTTCTCTCCTCTGGAGGATTTTATTGCACGGTGTCAAGGGTGTGGAGTGTATGTGTGTGTGCGTGTGTGTGTTGTGAAGGCTTCCTGCTGGCTTTGTCCTTCTCTAGGTGGGTGACCATGCTTCGCACCTATGTTTTCCCATCTGTCAGATGGGGATGTTCAAACAGAGCTCAAGGGTCCATGCGACATTTCCACTAGCTCTCCTCCCATAAAGCTAAGTGTGGCTCTCATTTGTATTTACTTTTGGCCCACACAGCACTGTTTGTAAACGTTCTGTAGAAAATGAACCTACAAAAACCTTATTTAAATGAGGTTAGGAGGCTGGAAGTTCTACACACATGCGCAGTCAGCAAAGTGCTTTGTTTCCAACAGGTCTTGTGTCTCCTACGGGAAGTGACATCTCTGACGAGAAGTGACTTTGCTTTCTTGCTCAGCGAAGAAAAAAGGGATTCCTCTTTGTTGGGTAACAGCCCCTTGAAAAGCTATATAAAGGCCTCCCTGGTGGCGCAAGGGGTTAAGCATAGCACTGTGAAGCTATCCGCAGCCCCTGCAGCACGAGTTCGACCCCTGGCCAGGGAGCTGCCCACATGGTGGAGCAGACTTCTCCTGTCTCGCCTGCTGCTCCCCTCAGCATGCTCTGCTTCGCACTCTGTCTCTGGTGAATCCTCTCACCGCCCGCACCTCTGGCCTGTACCCCAGTTCTCATATGCATAAATAAATCTTAAAAAAAAAAAAGAAAGAAAAGCTATATAAGCAGGTACTGACTTTTGTTCTAGACAGTGCACGAGTATTGACCTGAGACTGCACTTGCAAAATTTCCTTTTTGTTGCTTTCAAATAACCCCATTTTGTTGGTGAAATAATGGGAGGCTTTTGGTTTGAGGTGAACACTTCAATTGTGAACTAGCAGCACAGAAGGATCTGGAAGTTAAGGGTCAAAATTCAGGCAAAAATCTGGATATGGGACTCCTGGGGGCAAGCAACAGCTGGGAGGTGCTGAGGAGGGTGCCTTGTGGTCCTTCCTTGCATGACAGCACCCGTCACCCGCCTGCCCCCCAACACTGTGCCCCTTTCTAGCTGGTTGAGGAAGAAAG